AGATTTTCATTTTATGACGAGAGAGCATTTGTTGGGCTAGTGACTCGTCTTATGATTTGACAACTGGTTAAATCACAAATTGTTACAAGGTTGATGTAATTAAGTTATACTTCTTATACAGAGGCAATAAAGATAAACAGAGTGAAAGCTTCTGTGTCCGTTTCTCAAACTCATTTGATGCCACAAGATGGAGCCAGTGAGTCCTAGATAAACATGACTGAATGGAATCACTACTGTACATCCTCTTTTTACCTAGGATGTTTAAATGCATAACTAATATAAAAGATCCAATACGTGTAATCTAATATGGGTTTTATTCAGTCTCCAAAAATGACCTCCCTTAAATAACATAAATCCATTTTTTTCTACACACCCAAGAATCTCTTGTACACATACACACTAAGGCGGAGGGCAAAATTATGAATTAGGACCCACCCAGACAGCATGCACTTCTGGGACAGATGTGGAATTAATCAGTCACATCTGACCAACAGAAGATATGACATGAACATATATAAGCCAGCCATTGTATGTTTTGCCCTTCAAAGCTGGAGGGAATTTGGACTTTTGTGTATATTTGGGAAAATCAAGCACATGAACAATATATTAACCAATGTGTTATTGATTTGTGGGTACTAACTCTGATTTGAACACCTAACAGTACATGTCACTAGCCTGATGTCATCATACTCAGATTCTAGTCAGAATGTGAGTCTGATACTGCTCCATTGGGCTGTGATTATGGATACAGGACAGAAAATGTATCTGGACTCAAATATTGTGGGTGGGGCTAAGTTCGGCTGTCATCCAGGCTAACATGTCACTATTAACATGTTCAAAATACCTGTACCTTATTCATAAATATGACAATTATTTGTAATGTCCTGACCTTTTAAGTTGGGGGTGTGTCATGCATGATGGAAGTTATTCGTAATTAGTCATAATAACAGTCACAGGTGTCTGCTGCAAGCTACAGAACAAGTTTTTAATGACTGTTACGGAGTTCTTTTGAAGTTAGTATCTGTAAACGTACTTCGCTTTGACAGGAGCTAATAGCCCATTCAAAAGCAGCACCAGATTCCCACTCACTACAGTAGATCTCTCTAACATTGCTATTATCCTGAGACTGAAAGAGATACTCTGACAGCAGGGTGTGTGTGAGCAGTGCCTGATGGGATATTTAATCACTCTGAAGAGGAGCAGTAGTACATTGCCCACATGCTCTTGGCATTTCCAGACCCACCCAAGCATCAAAATCTGAAGGTCAAAGCAGCTTCGTTTGTCTTCAGCAGCTGGACTCCATCTGTCGATGTAAGTGGACCATAAAATAATGGACTGTATGTTGTCAGCAAGGTCATTCAGCAGAAATGTTGACAGCACAAGCACAAGTTCTCCATTACGAAATATAGGCCCATATGAATATTCTAATTATTATTATTATTGAAAACAGTTGAGCTGCTTTATATTTTTTTGGAAACCATAATACAAAAAAAAAAAAAAACAGGATTCTTCGATGAATAGAAAGTTCAAAAGAACAGCATTTATATGAAATCAAAATCTTCTGTACCATTATACATTTAAATAAAAATAATTTCCTGTGAAGCAAAGATGTCCACCTCTGCTTCGTAAAATCTTTCCCAGATCTGACTGACCCCATCGGGATGGAGTGTCCAGTGTGACCTCTCGTCTGGACAATAGATCTGCTCCCACATACATGCTTCCTGGAATGTAAATCGCCCTAACGGACAGGAACTTGTCCTGAGCCAAAAGCAGAACCTGGTACGCTAGTTTGTTAAAACGCCGCGAAAGCAGTACGCCCTGGCAATTTATATAAGTGACTACCGCCGTGTTGTCCACCTGCTCCAGGACATGGTAGACTCTTAACTGTCGGAGGAAGTATTATTTAAGGGCCAGAACTACAGCCATCAATTCGATGCAATCGTTGTGCCAATCGAGATGACTGCCTCCAGACCACTTGGCTGGACGGCCATCTTAGATCACACCCCAGCCCTTCAGGGAAGCGTCTGTCGTTAGCATCCTGCGAAGACAACATGCACCTAGAGTTTGACCCAAGGTGAGAAACCAAGGTCTGAGCCACATAGAAAGGCTATGAAGGCCGCAGCGCCTAACCCTTATTCGCCTCTGGAGACTTGCTCTTGAATGAAATCCCCTGGCTCGGAGCCACAACTGAAATGGTCTCATGTGCAGAAGGCCCAATGGTATAACCATGGACGCAGCTGCCATAGAGACCGAGAATTCTTTGAAAATGATGGAGTATAATCTCCTGACCTAGCCTGACATTGCTCAGGGTGTTTAAGATGGACTCGGCACGTACAGGAGACAACTGTGCCTGCATGGTGACCAAGTCCCATTCAACCCCTAAATACATTGTTTTCTGGGACGGAGAGAGAACACTTTTCTTGGCATTGAGCTAGGACGATATCTCGATGTTGTAGCGCAAGCTCTTGAGATTTGGCCAGTATCAGCCAGTCGTCCATGCCCTGGACTCGTAAAGGAGCCAGAGCTGCATCCATGCATTTAGTGTATGTGCAGGGTGACAAGGCCAGGCCGAATGGAAGAAAATAGCGAAGGTCTAGAAGGTCTAGAATTGGATGCAACCCCCATATTTTTTGGGAGATATAAAATAGCGGCTGCAATAACCTGACTGTCTGTCTGGGAAGGGAACATGTTCTATGGCCCCTTTGTCCAGCAAAGTTTGCAGTTCTTGTGTCAGCAAGTGCGCCTTTTCTGGTTTCACGATAGTGGAGACCACACTGGTGAAACGCGGAGGAAAGCGTGCAAACTGTATTCTGTAGTCTTTATCTACGGTTCTCAAAACCCAAGGAGATCAATTTGCCAGTAGCTTCCTCGGTGCCAACTTCTGTGAAAGGCGCACTAGTTTTGACGAGACGCAATGTTTTGTGAAGCAACATCTAGTGTCGCAATGTCTGCTTGATGGGGGAATGTTAAATGTTTCGTGTCCAGGGAAACAGCAGGAAGCAACTGATTATTTAACAATTCGCTTATCTCTGCGTTTCAACGGTGTGGTCTCCACTATCGTGAAACCACAACAGGTGCAATTTTTGACACAAGAACTGCAAACTTTGCTGGACAAAGGGGGGCACACCCCCCCCGGGACTGGGCGCAAAAGCCTCAGGATTTCTTCTTTTTAGAAGAAATCAAATATCTTAAGTCCATCTTTGGTGGCTGAGCGTGGCGCACATGTCCCCAATGTTTGCGAGGAGAGCAAGCTCTGTTTCTGAGCTTCCCTCTTTTGAGATGGACCAGATTGGGTCTGGATGGGAGACTGCACCGACCCTTCAGCACGGCAAGGGTGGAACATAACAAACTCCTCCTCGTATCTCTTAGCCTCCCAGAACCTTCTGACAACGGTGTTAACTGAGTCGCCCAATAGGCAGGAAAGAGATACGGGATACGGGAGATATCCTTCTCCTTGATGTCAGTGAGATTGAGCCACAGATGTCTCTCCGTAGCGACCATAGCACCCATGGAATGGCCGATGACACGGGCGTTTGCTTGATCACACACAGAGACAAGTATGTGGCTCGGCGCAGCTCTGCAAACACTTCCTCACTGACGTTTCCCTCACACGTGCTCAATTCTTTAAGCAGGGCCGCCTGCAACACCGCCATGGTGTGCAGGGAGCACCAGCCTGACCCGCCGCCTGAAGAGCCTTCCCCACCATTGAAGATGTAATTCTGCATGGTCTGGAGGGAAGTGCAGTCTTTTACAGTGATGATGCGCTGCCAGGGGAGTAATAGCCCGTGAGCATCACTTCAACCTGGGGCATCATCGTATAACCCTGTGCCTTCGCACCAGCAATAGTTGAATATACTGACGTCGTAGACACGAGAGGAATACGGTTTGTTCCATGACTTCATTCCATAGTTCGTCATGGAGATCTTGAAAAAAGGAGAGGGACAGTCTCTCTGGTGCATCCCTTTGGCCACCCGACAGAAATTTAATGTCTAACTTCGATCGTCTGGGGGGTCTTTTGTTCCTGTGGCTAGTCTAACTGAAGACTGTCCACAGAGCGAGTGACTACCTAGAGTAGCCCATCGTACGAGCTGTCGTCATGAGAGTAGCTCTCAGAGGCAGCGAACTCGATATCCATTTTCCCAAGAGAACTCGTGTCCTCAGCTGAAGAAGAGCCAAGGCGCGCTCCAGAAGCGGGGTCGAGGACCTCGTGATCTGGTGAGAGAGCAAGAGAAAGGGGTGGACCCAGGTGAATAGCACACACAGCACACAATGCGGTTCTGAAGACAAAGGAACCTGATGTTGAACCTGATTAGATTATTTAATGTGTTTGCCACAAGTGTTCACAACCGGTCAAACAAAGATGTTTTGTCTAGCACTTAAAATCAACTGCAGCATTGAGAGTAGCTTTTGAAAGGCAACAGAAGTTTAAACTGACATGGCTTTAAAACAATGCAAATAATAACTTTCAACAACGAAGAACTGCAATCTCACGTGAGACGTGTTGTTCGTTTTTGACAGAGTATCCGAAGCACGTGCTGTAAAAGCACATGACTACTCTGGATAGGGGGACGGGGAGCAGCAGCTCATTTGCATTTAAAGATACATGCACGAAAACAACATGTTTTGCTTTAACTCAAAAATGGCCATTTGCAAAATGGTATAATAAATCTATGGGGTATTTTGAGCTGAAACTTCACAGACACATTCTGGGGAGAGCTGAGACTTATATTACATCTTGTAAAAAGGGGCATAATATGTCCTCTTTAATATTTCCATCTCAAGTCTGAGATATGAAAGAGCAACCACAATAAACCTATAAAAAATAATTAATACTTTTTTTTCTCCTGTCTCAGAGCGCCAGTGTGTAACAGGTCGTTTTTAGGATGAATAATGTCTGTCAGCCACAGAGGGGGCGTCAGAGAGCAAACACACAGCAGGGTCATGAGGTAGTGCTGTTCCTTTAACATCTAACCACAGCTCATAGTTAAGACTCACTTCCCTCACTGTTTGCCCCACCCTGAGCTCCTGCACTAAAGTTTGACACAGACCCTCCACCGCTGCATGTGTTAGGACAGAAGAAGCTGTTCTTATTACCACAGTCTGTTGGACTCTGAGTGTAGATTTTCTGTCCACATCCACATACCTACCAAGGATCACTTCAGGTAAGAAGCTAGTCACAGTGTATTATTTTGTCCCCTGCATGCTTTTTTCGCTTCTCTTGTGCAATGGCTCTGCAAACTTGTGTGCAGCTCATGAGGCTTTTTGAGGTTTTGGTTTCCAGGAATTCTTTAAATTCTTTCCACCTCATCAGAACGGTTCGGTTTTGTTGAGCTGACAAAATTCCTGGCAGAGAAGATGCAGCTTTTGTGAACCTTTACTTATATAAGTCCAATTCTTCTCTTTCACAGTTACAAACTACTACTAACTTTTCTAATCTGAAATCAGGAATGTGACTTGTCTAGTCTTGTTTTCTAGAATAACTGTACTCTAAAGATCATTGAGAAGGAACAATTTGACCAAGATTCTCAAAAAGAAGACCTAGACTTTTAACCGAGCTTTCATTTCAAACCCTTGTGCTATGTTGAAAATCCATTACCTAATTTGGTGTTCTTGGTCTTTTAAACTGATGGTTAATCTCACATTATTATCACCAAATATGGGATTCAATATTTTTTGTCAACTTGTTTTCTTTCAGTTAGCACAGGTTATGTATTTCTTTTGGTAACTGATTGATCGTAGGCCTTATTAATCTGAGCTTATGCCACTTTAAAAAGTTCACTCATGCTCATCCCCCCAAAAAAACTGAATTGCATAAGCTCAGAACAACGAGGCCTATGATCAATAAGTTACAAACAGAAAAACAAAACCTGTGCTAAATGGAAAAAACACCCTGTGTGAGAAAGTAAGTAAGTTTTATTCCAATGCGATAACATTAACTACCATTTTAACATGTCACATGTAACTCAATTTAGATTTTTAGAACTGCTGGTCTAGGATCAGTTGTCTCTGTAATAATAGCACATTGGCAAAACATATTTGGCTAACGATCCAGTGCGTATCTGTGTTTGCGCTCTGGAGAACGCCAATAGTTTCTAATTACAACACATTTTTGCAGCGTTGAGCAATATAGCCAATCACAAACATATCTGTTGATTACTTATTGATATACTGATTACGGCCAATCACAGGTGAACAAAAACTCTGGTGTATTGAGCGATACGGGGATTCTGAGTTCTGCATGCTCACAAATGATCTCATTATAGCAAAATTATGAAAATAAGAGATTCATTGTGCAGTCAGCTTCATTTATTGTAATAGAACTTTGTGAGATCGCAATGATCTAAGATGAGTGGCCGCTTTTCAGTGATTATAAAGGAAGCGTTTTTTGCACGCTTTCTTCCATGCCAAATCCCACATACAGTATGCTTGCTTTTCTGTTAAAATTAACAGGGGTTTGTGAACATAGATGCTCTGATAACAAATAATTAATCAGGAGCGTTTCTGGGATGTGTACGTTTTGCGGTGACGCATAACTGAAACTATTTTAAGGAAATTTAAATATGTTTCGAAAGGGGAAGCGCATCTTCTATCTTTATCCTGGTGTTAGTTCACCCACCACCTATGGCCCTATTCTTACAATAGTTGTGTGTTTTTGTAAAATGATTGCTGTTTCTTTGGTAGGTTGGAGTTTAGACCTCATCTGGGTTTTCATGGCTTTTGTTGGCATGACCTTGGCTTTCCCCATATGTAAATGAAACTAATGCAGCACAGTGCGAATTAGCCATCCAGAAAACTCTGAGAGTTCTGATATCACAGAAAGTGTGAAGTAGATTAATCAGATTCAACTAGACCACTGGCTAAAACAATTTCACAGTGTTATCATAATACTGTCAAATGTCCTCAAATCTGCCTTTGTTTATAGTCTGGCTAAATTATCAAACTTTCTATGACCTTCTGATGCACCATCAGAGAATGTAGTGTTGCAATGGGAAGGAAATGGCCATAAGAGAGCATTCAGTCTCTGTATTACTATACTAGAGAACGTTATCTGCATGTGTGGCTGTGTGTCATTTCCTCACATCCATGACAACCCAACATGTTTGGAGCCAGGGGCCGGAGTTAGTGTTTAGACTGGAGACATCAGAACTATGCAGGAATGTCTCGATTACAACCAACAAGCCCTTTTATGGACAAAATTAATGAGACATTTCCCAGCAATTACAGAAGATCAGAGACACATGATTCACTGTCAATGTATAGGCATATTGTTGGCAACATGACGCTTATTTTGTTTTGTTTTGTGTCGCTGTCTCAACGCAGGCTCTGAATAAAAGTTAGGACTGTTGCATATTTACACTTAAATCAATACACTGATCTGCTCTTCACTAGAATGTAACCTAAATGCATCCACTCTGCTCAGATTTTGATAGTTGACCGATAAATAAAACGGGCAGTGTGCCAAAGATGTAGGCAACAGGGTAGTTGTGGGTGCAGATGTAAAGTAAATGAACACTTATAAGATAAAGTAATGTTTCAAGTGTAGGTTGCTGAATTTATGCCTACACATAAGAAAGCCTTGTAGGATCTGCTTCTGTGCGGTTTGTGTTGTTAGTCTGGTTGTTTGATAAGAAAGAATTGCAATAAAAGCTTTAAGAACTGTAGCAGCGGTTGGCTTTTATTCTGTTGTGCTGTTGGGACTGAGGAAGAACTGATGAAGGCCAGGTTCAATCTTTAACTGACCAATCAGCGGAAAGTTGTGTTTCATTCCCGCCCACATAAGATCGAATATATTCAGGGCCTTTCCAAATACCCACACTTGCGTTCTTGGCCACTTGAAAGCGTGTGCACGTGACGGGAAGTAAGGGCGCAAGACTGTCCCATGTCTAAAAAATACCAAAGTGCAGTGGCCTTAATGAACACTATCTTGAATACCGCATCTAAGCAATATTCAAAGCTAAGCGTGGGGGGATTAGAGGTCAGTTGTGCTCTGATGAAGGCCCTAAAGGGGCATGGTGAAGGAAATAAATATAAGAAGGAGGAAATTTGTGAATCATGCTTTTGCGTTCTCGTGAATTTCAAGCTGTACTCTGGAGTCACAACAAGTATGTGCTTTTGAAAGTCCAAATATGCTTTTATAAGAACAAATTCTTAAGCTCAAATGGATACTTTGACAATTTTCAATCTGGTTTCCGATCGCATCACAGCACAGAGACAGCGCTCATAAAGATAATAAACGATATTCGCTTAAATACTGATACAGGCAAATTATCAGTGCTGGTACTACTCGACCTCAGTGCTGCATTTGACACTGTCGATCACGACATACTTCTTGACAGGCTGGAAAACTGGGTGGGGCTTTCTGGGATAGTCCTAAAATGGTTCAGGTCATACGTAGAAGGGAGAGGTTATTATGTGAGTATAGGAGACCATAAGTCTGAGTGGACATCCATGACTTGCGGAGTCCCTCAAGGCTCAATTCTTGCACCACTCCTGTTCAACCTGTATATGCTCCCAATGAGCCAAATAATGAGAAAGAACCGAATCTCTTACCACAGCTATGCAGACGACACACAGCTCTACTTAGCCCTATCGCCTAACGATTAAAGCCCCATTGACTCCCTGTGCCAATGCATTGATGAAGTAAACGGTTGGATGTGCCAAAACTTTCTTCAGTTAAACAAAGACAAAACTAAAGTCATTGCGTTTGGAAACAAAGATGAAGTTCTCAAGGTGGATGCATACCTTGACTCTAGGGGTCAAACAACTAAAAATCAAGTGCGGAATCTTGGTGTGTCTCTAGAGTCAGACCTTAGTTTCAGTAGTCATGTCAAAGCAATAACTAAATCAGCATACTATCATCTGAAAAATATTGCAAGAATTAGATGCTTTGTTTCCAATCAAGACTTAGAGAAACTTGTGCATGCTTTTATCACCAGCAGGGTGGATTACTGTAATGGACTCCTCGCTGGCCTTCCTAAAAAGACCATAAGACAGTTGCAGCTCATACAGAACGCTGCTGCCAGGATCCTGAGCAGAACCAGAAAATATGAACATATCACACCAGTCCTCAGGTCTTTACACTGGCTCCCAGTTACATTTAGGATTGATTTTAAAGTATTATTACTGGTATATAAATAATTCAATGGGCTAGGACCTCAATATATTGCAGATATGCTCACTGAATATAAACCTAACAGATCACTCAGATCATTAGGATCACATCAGCTAGAAATACCAAGGGTTCACTCTAAGCATGGAGAGTCTGCTTTTAGCTATTATGCCAGCCGCAGCTGGAACCAGCTTCCAGAGGAGATCAGATGTGCTCCTACAGTAGTCACATTCAAATCCAGACTCAAAACACATCTGTTTAGCTGTGCATTTACTGAATGAGCACTGTGCCACTGTCCGTCCGACTGTTTTTACTGTACTGGTTTTGTCTTTGTTTGTTTTCTAATTTCTAATTTATTTATTTTTATAATCTCTGGAAGAGATTTTGAAGCAGAGCGGGAGAGTATTCACTCCGATGAGGCGAGTGAAGGAGTAAGTTATACTGCTGTATAAGAAGTCGCTGAGAGCGTCGTTAAGGGTAACGGCAGCAGACAGCGCACGAAGCGTGCTCTGTGGGGGCCCCGCTGGGCATTACTGGTGTAGCACCACCCCAGCAGAGTACGTCCCTGGGCTAGAGGTCCAGTGGCACCGTAAACCGGCTCAATCTCTTCCATCTCAGATAGGGGTGGACCAGTACTACTTTATTTGATTTTTTATTCTAAACTGTTTTAATTATTCTTATTTGTTTTGATTATTTTAATTTCTTCTATGTAAAGCACTTTGAATTGCCATTGTGTATGAAATGTGCTATATAAATAAACTTGCCTTTTATATCAAAGCTGCCCTGTTTCAGATTTCAGACCCACATACCTTAATAATCACAATGCCTTTTTTGGCATGGTATTTCTCTTGTGGTTTGACATCACTTTTATGCAAAGTTATCTTTTTTTTTCAATGCTAAATTCCAACTATAATTACATGCATATGTAGTATACAGAACTTTAGGACTTCTCATTGACCCAATTGTTGTTAGCTTTGAAAGCATGAGATCCCACCCTCCCTTTAGATCGTCTCCAAAGCCACGCCTTCTCCAAAACACATGAACACACAGCAGATTCTGCAAAGCCTCACGAGAGACTGCGGTAAACTACCTCATGTCTCAAAGCACGTAACATTACAATAATAATGAACATAAACAACTTAAAGAGCTCTGACCTGTACCACCTGACTGCTGCAGATTAATTTCACCGTTGATCGTGTTGACATAGAAATGCATAAATCCAAGCCTGAGGATGTGAACGGCACAGGTGGTCAACTCATAAATACGGTTATGACATGGCGTGAATGCAGCACAAGCTTGTTGTTTTGGTTCAGGAGGAACTGTAAAAGGCGACTGCTGTTTGTTTGCGTGCTAAGGAATGAACTAATGACGTCCGCGCGAGCAGGACCATTAGAAATGGAGGAGAAATTCTATTCGTGGAAATGCAGGCAGGGTAGGACATCGAATGCAATGATTGGAAGAAGTTTTTTTTTTTTTTTTACCTGACACTTCCATAGACGATATATGTATGTTTCAATATTTTGACCTGTTATTGATTGTTATCAGGATGTGAAGAGTTTCAACCAATATTACAAAAAGTGTTTATAAATAACAATGCACTTTCTGGATTTGAATTAAAACCCTACTCTGTTGTTTTCATTGAGAGTGCCATAAGGAGGTCCCCAAGCGTAGGTGATTTCCGGACACAGGTTGTGAGCTACTCTGCTGTGTGTGTTTCAGGATGCCTCTTGGGGGTGGAAACAAATGTGGCTGCTGCCAGAAAACAGTGTACTTTGCAGAGGAAGTGCAGTGTGAAGGACGGAGCTTCCACAGATCCTGCTTCCTGTGCAGTAAGTCCTGTTCTTTTCCCTGTGTCCAGTGCCATGACTCGAGTCCGCACAGTATCAGTAGATCAGCATGTTTAACAAAGTTTACCGAAGGCATTCTTAATACATAATTTGTCTGTTAATAATTATCATCTGTTGAACAATAGCAGGCACAACATATTGTGCTAAAATGAAAAATCTATGCTTGAATGCTTTGAAAGCTGTACAGAAAGAGCAAACTGACACACTTTGGTTGTTTCATAGTATACATATTACACAATAAAATGTTTGGTTTTTGTTAAAGGAGAAGTACTTGTGTGTGTGTGTGTGTGTGTGTGTGTGTGTGTGTGTGTGTGTGTGTGTGTGTGTGTGTGTGTGTGTGTGTGTGTGTGTGTGTGTGTGTGTGTGTGTGTGTGTGTGTGTGTGTGTGTGTGTGTGTGTGTGTGTGTGTGTGTGTGTGTGTGTGTGTGTGTGTGTGTGTGTGCGTGCGTGCGTGTGTGTGTGTGTGTGAGAAAAAGCAGTACACCAATATAGGAACATATCCATGTCATAAAATTGCCTTGATCACAGACTGTTTTGTTGCAAGGGAGAATAAAGAAGGGTTAGTTCACCCAAAAATGAAAATTATGTCATTAATTACTTCTCTCATGTCGTTCCAAACCCGTAAGACTTTCTTTCATCTTCGGAACACAAATGAAGATCTTGAAACTGGTAGTTGCATAGGCTGTCAATGAAGAGACAGAAAGCTCTCAGATTTGATCAAAAAGATCTACATTGGTTCTGAAGATGAGTGAAGGTCTTACGGGTTTGGAAAGACATGAGGGCGAGTAATTAATGACAGCATTTTCATTTTTGGGTGAACTATCCCTTTAACATCTAGCTAAATTCATTACCTTACAATTCATTATTACTTCCTTTTTCCTTACATTTAAAATATAAGACATCTACTATGATTTGGGTGAAACTACTTCTAATTCTGGATAGTATGTGAATCAGAGGGCGTAAGAGCAGTATTTGTCCAACAGTTTCAGACTACTATGTGAAGTAAAGGCTGGTTTCTGGCGCCCTCTTCTGTTTGTCTTTATAAGTCACTGTATGATGTATAATATTACCCTGCATTGGGCCCTCAAAGGAATCTGCATATCCAGACAGACTGTCGGCAGGGGAGGACGAAAATCAAAGCTCCTTTAACAAAATTCAGATTGCAAAATTCACAAAACTAGCAGAGTATCTATTGATCTACTCTGTCAATGTATCAGAAGAAAGCAATTGTCCAATTATTTTCTAATATTAAACACAACATATTCATAGTTACTCAACTAAATAATATATATCTTTCTAACAATCATATATTAGTAGGATATCCTCCCACTCAACACACTTGATCTACTATATTGCCTAAAGCAACAGTTACTGTCGTTGACATCTTGAAGCTAAAGGTCACTGCAGAACACTTTTATCTATGTTTTTTTGGTCAAATTCCCTCATTCTTCTCATTTAAGTGGTGTGCAGGAAAAATCTAGACAGCACTACAGTGGCCGTCCATGAGAATGAGATCTACTGCAAGGCCTGTTATGGCAAAAAATACGGGCCCAAAGGCTACGGCTACGGCGCTGGTGCAGGAACTCTGAGCATGGACAAAGGAGAGTCGCTGGGCATTAAAGTCGAGGAGTAAGAAAAATACACCTGCTTTGCATTTTGATTCTTAAATATCACTTCATATTTGATTCTAGTCTTGCAAGATCAGACTTTTGACTATCAGAGTGTACACTCTAGGTTATTCTGGCCAAGAACCGCTCACTATACAGTATATGGAAAGGCTCTGACTGATATATAAGGCAAAGTAAACCACTACTTTATGTCTTGAATGCTCTGCTTGGATGTTCTGCTATAAATGCATTCCATTTATAGCATCCAAGCTGCTCTTTCAATGATTTGGAATATACAGCCCGTTCTCATCCCAAGGGGTCATACATGTGACGCTTTTGACATTTCGTTGAAATCTTACGCACATGGCATCCTTTAGCGTCAATATGAGACGCAGAACCCAAGGCGTCATACAGGTGACGCTCGTCTAAATCCGACGCACATGGCATCCTTTAGCGTCAATATGAGACTCAGATCCCAAGGCGTCATAACCGTAACCCTACCCCAGACCTAAACCTACCCATAACAGTGCGTGTTATATTGACGCTAAAGGATGCCATGTGCGTAAGATTTCGACGAAATGTCATATGGCGTCACCTATATGACGCCAAAGGATGAGAATGTGTTGGAATATAGCACACAAGTTGTAAAGACCACTTATAATATCTTTATGGCTTTTTTTGCCCTTTTTGGAGCTTGACAGCTCTTGGTCCCCTTCCGCTTTCATTGAATGGAAAAGAGCAGCATGAACATTCTTCAAAACAACTTGGTTTGTGTTCCACAAGACAATGAATGTCAGACAGATTTGGAATGTTATAGTGATCACGGAATTCAAATTTTGTGGGGAACCATTCCATGATGTGCTGTCAATCTAGCAAACTGTGGCCAATCTGGTGACTGGTCATCCTCTGATTCTTGTGTTCTGTGTCTCTTGAATGCAGGCCTCAAGAGCACCGGCCCACCAATAACCCAAACACATCCAAGTTTGCTCAAAAGTTTGGCAGCTCTGATGTTTGTCCACGGTGTAGCAAGGCCGTCTACGCGGCTGAAAAAGTCATAGGGGCAGGAAATGTAAGCCGAAAGCAGAAACGGCAGGAGGAAATGCAGTGGTGGCGCACCAAAATGAAATAAGCCACCATTTATGGTTCTGTAAGCTTTGGACATGGTCTTCATTGAGCGACTTTTGTCTTCCTTCCTCTGCAGGCATGGCACAAGGGTTGTTTCCGGTGTGCGAAATGTGGAAAGGGGCTGGAATCCACAACTTTAGCTGACAAGGATGGAGAAATCTTCTGCAAAGGCAGAGTATCCAATGTTATCCTGTCTCTTTTTAGTGGTTCTTGCCAAGCAACCACCTAGAAACCACACAGAACACCCTAGCAAAGGCATAATGCACTAAAAAACGTTCAGAAAATGTTCGCAATGCACTGTAAAAAAATTTTCCGTAAAATAACGGTAAAAAGTCTGGCAGCAAAGTTGCCAACCACTTACCGTCAAATTACAGTAAAAAAACGTAAATTATTTTACAGAAAATTTTGGTTTTTTGAAAACGGATATTTACCGTAAATATTTTCTGTATTTTTACAGTCAAACTGCTGTAGAAAAAAAATAAAATCTCATAAAAAAAATGTCTGTTGAATGTTAAACGAATGTATAAATCTGTATAAAAACTTACAAATATTGCAGAAATACCTTAAAATTACATAATTAAAACAAAGACTTCTGTTTTAATACAGAATTATTTGGTATATTTTTAGGATAATCCAATCCATCTACAAGAACTCCTTGTCAAAGTAAAGACTTTTCTATGTAAAACACACAGAAAATGTTGTATAATTACCTTCAGATACCCTAATTTAAAGCCTAATACCAGTATATTGATCGATTTAAACTTTTATTTTATGTCATTATTCAAACTATTTACAGTAAATTCCTGTTAAATATTGGTTTTATCCTGTACAAAAAAACAAGATCTTGTGATATTAAGTTTCAGAAACATATTTTTAACAGTTATTGCTTTATTAAAACATTATTTGACAGTAATTACAGACACATCTCCAATAAATTTACAAGCTTTTACCATTAATGTATGCAGGTTTACTTTATATAAACATTATTTGACAGTAATAACAAGCAACTCTCCAATATTTCTACATATTTACCATTTAAATAAGGGGGTTTACTTTATATAAACATTATTTGACAATAATTACAGGCAACTCTCCAATATTTCTACATATTTGTACCTTTAATGTATGGGGCTTTACCTTCTATATACTTTTAACATCAATATATGAGGTATACTTTATATAAACATTGCTTTATACTAATTAAAATCAACTTTCCAATATATCAACATGACATTTACTCAATGTATGGGTTAACTTTATATACACATTAATAGACAGTAATTACAAGCATTTCTCCAATATATGTAAAAATACACATGTTTATTTTATGTAAACAATAGTTGATAGCAATTACAAGCAACTGTCCAATATATGTACATACTTTTTCCATTACGGCATGGGGTTTACTTTAAAATGCACATAGGCTAAAATGCACATAAAATACGGTCAAGTCCTTCAGTCAAAAAGTTCTTTGTTCTTAGTTCAGAAGCTAAGTTCTTTCCAGTAACAAACAAAGTTAATATATAATCAGCATTAATATACAGATGTGAATGTGCTAAAAAAAGTTCATTTGGCAGATTGATATTCACCCACGTCCTTTAAAAATTCCAACGATGGCTATGATCCTCTGTAGTGGCTCTCACCAGGCATTGTCCTGAAAAATAGATAAGATGTATCATGCTTGTAAAAATCGCCAGAGCAGAGCCATTAGGTTGCCCCTTAAAGGCACACTGTGGAACTTTTCAACCTTTATAATATATTACCAAAACCCATTGAGATGGTACCTCGACTTACAATAGGTTGAATGACACGTCTGCCGAAGCCTGAAGGTGTCTGTATCGCTTTTACTAGCACTATGTAACTTCGGGTTTCGGGTAGGAACCCGAGCACAAAAAGAACTACAAAATTCGACCGCTTTACGGCATACGTCACTTCCCCCACCACCCCAACTTCCTCAAATTCTAACGTGAGAGCTCAACTCGCGTTTGATTGCCGGCGTCTGTATGTTGTCGTCATGGCTGAATCAACAGCTACTCGGAAGAAAGCGAAGAAAGCTAAGATTTTGTCAGAGGAGACCAAAAAAAGAAAAAGGGAGAGTTTAAAATAAACATCGGCATAAAAGTGTATGTAATATTTACTGCGAATTTGTGTAACAAAACTGATATAAGTCACAACATACTGCCGCATACAAAGTAAATGTTTTTTTTTTCCTTTCAGCTCATATATGTTTGTATTTGTGTAAAAGGAAAAACATACTGAAGACTACAAATAACGGAAATATGTAGTGAGTTATATCAGTTTTGTTACACGATTTCCCGACTACTCGATTTCATCTCCAACCCATTGCAAAGAGATCCTGAAGACGTTGATTGTTTGCTTCAGGTGTGTTTGATTAGGGTTGGAGATGAACTGTGCAGGACAGACGATCGGCAGGAGCAGGAGCAGGATTGGGCAACCCTTGTCAATGCGACTTACCTGATCAGACATTGTTTTCTGCGTATGCTACTTTTATTCAATTTGTTTTCTTTATAGGATTTATATTATTAATCCTATATTTATATTATTATTTTGGTCAGTATAGTGAATCGATTAACTTTCTCCAACATACAAATCAAATGCCGTCTGCACACACATGAAGACACGGGAGGTTGACCGGTTGACTGTTGACTTTTGCGACAATGCTGCGGCGCTTGTGGCCACTAGGGGCACTAGACGTGAAAATTACAGGGCGAGCGCACCCTAGTGGCCAAAAATTCCACAGTGTGCCTTTAACAATAATTGCAGTTTGGAGCTTGAATGAAAATTGAACTGTATGCGTTGCGACGTTCGTCTGTTATAGGACAACTTAGTTTGAATAAACGAGCAGACACTGATTAGCTACTTGCTCTACGTTTATTTAAAATTAACAGCAAGACGACTAGAAGCGAATGTGCTTTCCATTAAATGAATCACACACAGTAAACAAATCCTTAAGAAAAAAAAAAACTTTGCAATGAATGCGTTTTGTTTTAAATAAATCACACACAGTAAACAAACCCTTAAAGGAGAACTCCGGCACAAAATGAACCTTTGGTCTAATAACACATTGGTACCTAGTCAACCGTTCTCTGAGATTTGTTTTCATGATAATCGATGTAAAGAGTTTTATCTCTAAAAACTGTTTAGCGTATAACGCTAGTAATGGGGGCATTTAATAAGTAAAAAGAAATTGCCAGTTAATACCACTAACAAGGCTCAAAATAGCCCCACACTAACACAGTAACATAATGAGGGTCCCTACATGCAAAACGAAGCATTGAGAACTTTGTAAGTGTACAGACCGTTTAATAAGAAGATAAAGATAAAGACAGTCCACTTCGTGTATACAGACAGGAGCCATCTTTGGAAAACAGTCTCAACTAGTCAAACCACGAACGCCATTCATACAGTTCAGCTCACTTAGCACGTCGTTCGTGGTTTGACTAGTCGAGACTGTTTTCCAAAGATGGCTCCTGTCTGTATACACGAAGTGGACTGTCTTCATAAAATATCTTCTTATTAAACGGTCTGTACACTTACAAAGTTCTCAATGCTTCGTTTTGCATGTAGGGACCCTCATTATGTTACTGTGTTAGTGTGGGGCTATTTTGAGCCTTGTTAGAGGTATTAACTAGCGATTTCTTTTTACTCATTAAATGCCCCCATTACTAGCGTTATACGCTAAACAGTTTTTAGAGATAAAACTCTTTACATTCGATTACCATGAAAACAAATCTCAGAGAACGGTTGACTAGGTACCAATGTTTTATTAGACCAAAGGTTCATTTTGCGTCAGAGTTCTCCTTTAACAAAAAAAAACTTTGCAATGAAGTCGTTCATCCTCGGATGCGGCGCCGTGCGCACTGTTACAAAAAACCCTGTGCACACAGCCAAGCGAAATGGGGTCTTGCGCACCCAACGCGTCATTTTTGCAAGGTGCGCGCGGACCATAGACAGTAAAAGAAACGGACGCGTTGAGTATAAACTAGGCTTTACTCCGTGTCAGCGCGCGCTCTGATCGGTAAAGGTGCACAGACCTCTCCCGAATCATCTCCAGCACTCAGCCTCCGAAGCACCACTAACTCTACACCTCTGATTCCCTCGTAAGCTGATAATAGTATTTAAACATTCTCTATGATAAAAAATGTTTGTAAAAAATATTTGAATAACGGTTTTGGCGGTTATAGAGTTCTAATGACGGTGTTCAACTATAACCGTCGGTCTCACGGTTATATAATAACCTTCACACCCCTACTGTTACGTGTTTGCAAGAGGCAACAGTAACTTGTAAGATGTAACGTTAAGTTAACAGCTAACGTTATTAAATTAATGTTAGTCAACCAAAGGTATTTAACGTTAATGTTATGATGGCTGATGCATGTTTCACATTCAGGGCTAACGTTAATAACGGTTTAACTTTATTAGGACCAGCATAATGTTACATTTGCTAAAGCTAGACAGACTTTTATAAGGTTAATACATAATGTAACAAACGGCGAGTTTTAACGTTAGCCCTGCTGACTCGACATAATGTTAACTTGCATATTAAAATTGTAAAATGTATAAAAGCTGCCGCACTTAACAAGCACATTTGTGAGGAAACATAAATATATATATATATATTATGTATATGAAATTTATTTCATTTGTAAAAATGTTATCTTTGAGTAATGTCATCTTTGAGACTGTTAGTTGTTACATGATTAAAAATGTAAACATACACATAAAGCATGGCAATCCCGTCAGAAATGTGTATCATAGAAAGGGAAGCACACACACAAAAAATGCCAGTTGGTACACCAAAATCAAATAACCCTAACCCCATCAAATAATTTTACCTGCATCTGAGGGTCTTTCCCTTAATGTTTCCAGTGATTAAAGAAAGGACTGATGAAGGTGACACGAATCTCCCCTTTCAGTGCGCCACTTCAGCAGAAGAAAGACAAAAGGACAGAAAGTTACTCAGACTTTCCATCAGTAACAGTATGAAAATCACACTTAATACTATCCCAGTGTAGGTTTTCGAACAGTACGTGGGTAAAATTGACTTACTGTAACGTTAGTTGGTGAATGGGTCTTTCTGTTGGGTGTTCTCCCCCGATAAACATCTTATTCCAATGCTTGATCTAAAAAATAAAGTAAACAAATATCTTTTCAATATGTTATCAGTGTTTGAAGAGGTTATGTAAACATACTTCTAACGAATAAATGACGGTTTTATCACTTTACTCATTCACACGCTTTTTTACCTCTCATGTTAACTTACCAACAAAACACAGCAATGTTAGATGGTACTAACACATTGAAATACGTGCTAATATCGCTACGTAAATAGTGAAGCAGTACAAAAACACACACAGAGATAACTTATTCATCTTATGAGGTTGCAGTAAGCCTATGACAGTTAAATTACCCGTGTCCCTAAACGTTAGACTGTTAAGGACTGAAAAATGTTTTCTTACCTGATATCGCCAACAGACCACGTAGGCTACGACCCCTTCCTCTGTTCATATTCCAGCTTTTGTTCTTCATTGACATAGCAACTAAAATTCACTCAGAATTTAAGAATTCAACAGGCAGATATAAAATAATCCAGGTCTGACCGAGTAACCAACAACGCAAACAGCAGCTGCTCACACCAACCGAGAGTAACGGACGTATTTTCAAAATTAAAATAGGCGCGCAGAGCCGCGCACATTCTCATTGGACAGTTTCCTGGAAGACAGACAGATTAACCAATCATGCTCAAAGTAAAACGGAGAAACAACCAAATTAACAATAGAAAGCATTACATTGTTTCAACGTACAGATCTTGTAAAAAATAACGTTGATTTAGAAAGTGTTTTTGTTAACCTTTTTCAACCATTTAGCATTAAACGTTGTTTCAACGACTGGCATTATTTCAATCATATTTCAACGTTGAAGGTCGGTCATGTGCCGGCTGGGTATATTAATCTACCTTTAGTGAAAGCTGAATGCCGATATCGTGGAAATGTTCCATACTTTATCCAGGCTCTCTACTGCTTCGCGCGAAGTTATGACGTCCCCCCCAAAGTCAAACAATATCATTGGTCGAGATTGCCTCTGGCGTATGATTCGTCCAATGATTGTACAACATTCAATTATTTGAATCTGCGCGCACTTTCTTGATATCTAAAGCACAGAGACTAGAAAAACAATTAGGATGTTTGTTTACACGTTGTGTAATGTTTCAACCATTTTAATGTCTTCAATTCCTTCACCCCCAGTTTACCAAAGCTCAAGTTTATGCTACAAGAGCCTTGGTTGAACTCGAGCCCCAGAATAAATTCCTTGTCTTTCACACATTGCTCACCTATTGTAAATTAAAAATATATAGCACCCCATTGTAAAGCTTTATTCATAGTGTGGCGGTTTGTTCCCATCAACCGAGAAAATTGTGGAGTGGCCTAATGATTTCACTGCAGTGAGGGCCTTGAATTTTGTTGAATATAGATTGACTTTGTGTCTTAATGCTTCAACGTTTTTAAAGTGGATTTACAGCCTTTACTTTTAAATTGAATCACATATTTTCTTCTCAAATAAGCATATGAGATACGTGTCAATATAGTATATGGTCAGAAAATCACTGTCAGGGCAGCATTTCAAACAGACAAAAAGGACAATGTCACCCTTAAAAGCCAAGCCAAAAGAGGACATATCAGCACACAAGATTCAAGAGTCCTTTCACACCAACAGGCATTAGGTTAGTGTCCAGCATTTTTGAGCCTGGTTGTCTTGCGGAAAAACTGTCCCAAAGCATGATGATCCGAGACTTGAGGCTGCAGCACCAGACAGCAGCAGCTACAGTGGGTCTGAAAATGTTGCCACTCAATTTTTTCTCTGCCACTTATGAAATTGTTACAGAACACTTCAGAATTGTAAACACTGAGTCAGTGGTACCTGACAGTAGAAACACTGGATATAGGATGCATAAACAATCACTGACTATTCTTGATTTAATTTTATATTAAACTTAAGCTGTGCAATTATTTCATGTACAATAACTGTATATTTAGTTACACTGTGCAACAATATCTCCTACTGTATTCATCCATTTTTCAAGGCAATATTTTTAGATCTGTTTCTGTAGTATAACACACAGTAATTATTATGTTCAATTTTTATTTACAGCATATCTGCATGAAAGGTATAGCCTACATAGCTGTTTTTTTATTTTAATTGTATGTATATATTTTTTATTTATCACTCTTGTATCTGCACTTGTTGAATCTTAAGCTGATGTGGCCAGCAAAGTTTATCTTTGCTTCTGAAAAATATCTGCATTGGTGGCAGGGGACTTGGAAGTTTTACATTTACCCTGTATTTGATAGGTGTGAGGTGCTAACCTAACCCTAACCCTATACATTAATGGTAAAGTAATGTAGATATATCGGATAGTTGCTTTTATTTACTATAAAACAATGTTTATATAAAGTGAACTCCTTGAATTAAAAGTATGTAGATATATTGGATAGTAATTACTATAAAATTAAGTTTATTCAAAGTAAACCTATACATTAATGTGAAAAGTACGTGTTTTACATCTAAAAATCTGTACTTTGATGGGAGTTCTTGTGGATGTAATTGATAATGTTATGAATTTACCAAAGAATACTGTGTAAAAACAGAAGACTTCTTTAATTGTATAATTGTAAGGTATTCCTGCAATAATTTCCAGTTTATATGCAGATTTATTCATTTGTTTAATGTTCTATAGACATTTTTTTAATGAGATTTTCTTTTCATTCTACAGCAGTGGAACTGTAAAAATACAGAAAATGTTTACAGTAAATATCTGTATTTTAAAAAACAGAATTATTCCGTAGAATAACTTAAGGTTTTTTTACTGTAATTTGACGGTAAGTGTTTGGCAACTTTGCTGCCAGACTTTTTACCGTTTTTTTACGATTGTTTTTTTTACATGTATTTACCTTAAATTTACGGTTTCACAGTAAAAAAACACATAGTTGTCTTAATTTTAAATAAGCGATTTTTTTTGTCTTTTTACATATAATTTAATGTAATTTAACATTCAAGCCAATTAAACAAAAGAATAATCCTGTAAAAAAACTATAATTTCTCCTTATATGAATTTACAGATTATTACTTTTATTTTATGGTTAATGTTTTTAATAAAAGTTTTTTTCTGTTTTTTAATGACATTTACACGTAATGTTAAAAAAACAGAAAATATCTGTAAAATAATACAGTATATTTCTGTGAAAAAACTTTTTTTTTTTACAGTGTGGCATCGAGAGAAGGGCTGGGTTGACAATATTGTGTAATACATTTGAATGAATCTTCATTTTAAAGAACCGATATCGATTCTTAAATCCTCAGATCTATCTTTCAGTCTATAATGTTTTCAGGTGATGCATGAACAAAACTTGATTCAAAAAGGATAAAGTCTCAGCCTTCAAATTCGTTGAGTTTTATCACATCATTCAAACAATAAATGCCGTTTTGGCGTGCTTTAATGTCACTGTTGCCACCTCAGTTCAAGCGAAACGAATCGTCTCTTCCATCCTCTTTACCACTAGTCATAGCACAAAACAAACATGAATAAACATCAGAAGGTATGTTGAACGATACAGTAGAACTTACTGACATTTATAATGTCTCATGTAATTGCTCAGTGTTTCAAACGCAGATTTATAGTCATCAAAAAAACTGCATAACATTGTCGAGTAGTTACATTTCCCTCAGGAAAGCCAGTTATTGTCCATAAATGTTATAGTTAGCACGAAAAACTAACTCTAGAGAGGAGAATTTATAAATAAATGCAGTATATTACATTTTCAATATATTTTTAATCTGAGTAGAGTATGAGTAGAAATAATTTTTTATCAAAAGTTGACATGCCTTACGTGCAATTTAAATGTATACAACTAAATTTGTAATTTAGTGTTGTTGTATTATTAATGTTCTATCTGAAAGGGTTTCCTTATAGTTTACAGAATTAGTTGAAAGATTGTTTTCCTTAAGAAAAATTTACATTGTACCTGATACATATATCCTAATCATAATCAAATCAAGAGCTTACTCTAAAAAAAGATATGATCAGCAAGTCATGACAACATATGTTTTTTACATTATTTTAACTTATCGAAACAAAGTTAAGCAATTTTCAACTTTATTTTATAAGATATACAAGATATATTTAAGCCAGTTTAATTGAATTGATTGTACTTAAAAATGTAAGGCGGCAACTTTTTTTACAGTGTGAATTTGAATAGATTTGTGAAATCTGTGTCGATACTCTGCCCTAATAGCATCATGGTGGCGAGAACACCACTCATATTAAAAACCTTTACCGTTGTAATGGTGTCGTATTAACTTCCTCGTCTTGTGCCCTACACAGGTTGCTATGCCAAAAGCTTTGGACCAAAAGGCTTTGGATATGGCCAAGGTGCTGGAGCGCTGTCACACACTCAATAGATTCCCTACACCACAACCTTTCCTATACATTCCCCATTGTGAGCATCCGTAGAAGCAGCTGAACACCTCCTGCTCATGTACATGTGAATGCATGTCAGCGTCTTCAAAAAGGAAACCGGCGTCAGTCGAGAAGGAAACCATTGTTCAGATGCTTCGGTCTAATTCTTAAACAAGACGACACATTCCACGTTTCAACCCATTCCACAAGACATCATGTCATTGTCTTAAACCCATAAACATCTCTTCTTAACTCTTGAACACTGCCAAATGCTTGGAAGAATGTCAAGTATGTAAACAGAACATGGGATAAACACTAAATCTGCTCACCTAAGATGATCACTTGAGTTTTAGTGGAACCTGAGCTGTGCTGTTACGTCAGTATTACTCTGCTTACATGTACCGTCTGTTCTCTAATGGATCTGCATATCCAGTTTATAGTTGACCACATGCTTCTTTGAGCTTTAATCACGGTAAAGAATGTTCCCTTCAGCTCTACTCAAAGCATGAATGATTCACAAGCACTTCCTGGCTAAAGATGCACTCAATTTATTTCATTGTCAGTGGAAAATATCCCACACACGCATTCTGCACGGAAATAGAAGTAAAAGTATACAAATATGCACAGTTTTTGTGTCTTTTCTTATTTGGGTCCATTAAACTGAGTAGTTGGTGAATGTAAATGTTTAAAATGGTTATAAGAATGAACGTGCCTTGCAAGTAAGCAGTACTAGCTTTGGTGTGTATTTCTAGCAGAGGGTATTTCTTACTAATTATTCTTGATATCACACCTATGCTTCCGTACTTTTTTGTAGAAGAGTGTTTTAACCGTCAACATCTGGGACACAGTCAAGTTGGCCTTTTGGAGAAATGCTAATTATTTAGATACTATTTATGGTATCACTCATCAGGAAAAAAAAAACATCATTGGTTTTTAATTATTTATTTTGTTCACGCAGGATGATGTACACACCACCATTCAAACATACGTTTTTGAAAGAAGTCTATTAAATTGACGAAGGCTGCATTAATTTGATCAAAAACAGTCAAATATTATTACGATTTGAAAAAAAACTGTTTTCTACTGTAATATATTTTAAAATGTCATTTATTCCTGTGATCAAAGCTGAATTTTCAGCATCATTACTCCAGTCTTCAGTGTCACATGATCCTTCAGAAATCATTCTAATATGATGATTTGATGATTATTTCAATGTTGAAAACTAATGTAATTAAAGGGATAGTTCACCCAAAAATGACAATTACCCCATAATTTACTCACCATCAATCCAGCCCAGGTGTATATGACTCTCTTCTTTCAGCCAAACACAATCTGAGTTATATAAAAAAAAATATCCTAATATTTTTAAATATAAAAACTTTCCTAGCTTTATAATGGGAGTGAGGTTTTTAAGCCCAAAAAAGTGCATCCCTCCATCATTAAAGTCATCCATATGGTTTAATGGGTTAATAAAGGCCTTTCTGAAGAGAAGCAATGCGTTTTTGTAAGAAAAATATCCATATTTATAATTTTTATAAATTATAATCACTGTTTCCGGTAACGGGCGTACACGAGTCTAGTTCGGGCGGAAGAGTGGACTATCCCTTTAATATACATACCATTTACGTGTCCTCATGTTTTGATTTTCAATACTTGACTAAACATTGTCCAAACATTCAATTGGTCAAATGAATTATTCTTATTGTCTGCTGATTCGACGTGTATCAAGGTTCTCTGCATTTGTTGCATGCAAATGGTCATTTGTAAGGTGTGTAGATCGCAACCACGTTACATAATTTCAATAACATTTAATAGGGTTAGGTTACCTAACCTAATCATTTTACAATGTCAGACATGTACTATGAGTCACTCTCGTACTGAGTTTCACTGTGACTGAAAGAGGTACAATCTGACACTTACAGTCAGGTCACTTCATTTTGGAAAGTCCCTGATAATCCTTTAAATAGTCATAAACATTTAATTGGTTGTTGCCTCTGCCAAATCTGAATGCCAGACACAATGCAATTTATAATCTCAGACATCCCTCCATGACACACACTGTAAACCCTAACGCTCAAAAGAATTAATTGGTTTGATTAGGACACACTTAAATTAAACTAATTAGTTCAGTCGAATTAACTTTTATGAGTGTTTAGCACTTTCTTTTCCTTTCAAGTTCACAGAACTGATATCTTTTAATTGAACTGAACTGTTTCATTGTTTTGAGTTTTCTTAAATTATTTCTTTTAATTTGGACGAACTTAAGTTTAACTGAAACGGCTGGGATGTCTATTTCCCAGCATGCTTCGCCGATGGCACTCGAAAAGGAGAGGAAATGCTCAAATTAAGTGTAATATAATGGGTTTTTTTTTGTGCAAGATTAATGTTAATTGGGAGATTTAGTAGTAATTAATGTTTTGTTATGCTAATTGAGAAGAATTTCTGTTAAAGTCGGTTTTAGGATAGTTACCATCATCGTGACTAGTGGTGCATTGCAGATTCATTTGAGAGCGAATAAAATTGTTCTATTGTTGTTCTCATACATCAATTCCCTTTGTATAACATACTATTGTTAACATATTAACAAATTAGTATGATAGAAAACTAACTTGTTACTTTTGCTCGTTGTTACTAATAAAAGTGTTCACTTTGAGATTACATCAAAGTTTTAAGTTAAATGTATTAGTGTACTCAAACAGTTCAAGTTAAGAACAATTAAAATGTATGAGTACAAAATAAAAACAAAAAACCTCTGCCACTCCCACACCAGAAACGCATCAAAGTAGCCGGAGCAACTTTTCTCTATTTACAGATATGATGAGACAAGCACGGGCGAGTGACGTATGGACGCAATTTCCCATGAAAACCATCCCATCAGGTCTCAAATATAAACACTAAAAACGGGCATATACGGGTCATAAACATACTTTAGCAATTCATTTATTTTAAACAAACATAAAAAAAAGTAGTTTACAATCATTTAAGACTTTTCTCCTTATATAGAACCGTTTGGGCATAAAGGGCTCTTTAACATTGAACCCAATTGAACCTTTTCTTTTTTTCTAAGAGTGCACCTGCTTGGTTCAACTTTTCACCTGATAAAGCAAAGTGAAATTAATGACTGGGATATGCTCAGGCTGTCAAACATTACAAATAAAAACTCACAGTGTTGAGTGGGAGTACCGTTCGTGTTCAAGCTGTCAGCATGTAATGGCTGTTGAACTGAGGGAAGGAAAAGGGCCCCTGCCAAACCTATCATTAACACACACCACCTACACACATTCCATCTGTGAAAGACAAAGACAGGCAAATATTTACAAACCATTAATGCAGGTTTCATTCATAATCAAATCTTGCTGTAGGTGTGCATTCGTTCAAAAAATGAGCAGTGAATGTATGAATGTATTTAATTATTTGGACAAAGTACATCTTTGTATTGTGAGGTGATTATTTTAGAGCGATGACACTGATTCCAAGAGAAGACAACCTAAATATTTAATGTGTGTCATGACTCTTTTAAAACAACATGGCATGAACCCTTCCAGCTTGGTTTCAAATGTTATGAAGAAGTAAAGATTGTCCTCTAGTGGACAGAATGCAAAATGCAATATCTTAACTATGAGAAAAGCGCCAATTTCTCACGACCAACAGTGACTTTTAAAGATGTTCATCATTCCATTTGAGTTGTATCAGTGAAGACAACAAGATCATATGAGTTTCGCTTCCAGCTGTCCTGAAGAATTTGAGACACAAAATAAAGATCAATCTGTCCATTTATGTTTTGAGTCGTTTTTTTGTGTCCCCTTAAATTGATAATGGATTTATTTGATCAACCAAAAACAAAACACCAAACAATTAATAAATTGACATGCCATGAATTGTTTTTGATTGTTTTAACTATGACACAGCAAAATACTCTCAAACTCAATGTGAAAAAAGTTGCTGCCTTACATTTTTTAAGTATAATCAACTTGGATGTTTAAGTCATTTCAACTTAAATTACATTAAACTGACTTGACAAAAAAAAATGTTGAATCTTGAATAACTTTTAAAAAAAGTTGAAATTTGCTTAACTTATTTCGATGAGTTAAAGTAAAGTAAAAACATCTGCCATAACTTATTTTTGACAGTTTATCTGTAGGTACTTGACCTAGGCAAAGTATTTAAATTATTTGGGAGGGCATGTTGTTAAAGTTACGTCTCACATGTCGCAGAGCATTCCAGCATAAAAAAAACACACAAAAAAACACAACAATAACAACAAAAAAAACACAAAAAATTCAACAGACCTTAAAGGTAGGGTTGTGTCCATTCCAAGATTTGGGGGTGTTTAAAAAGTGTACTGAAAGCTAATGGGAGAATTTAGTCTTCTGACGTTTGAACAAGAATGAATATTTACCCTTTACCTTGTATTAGTTCCTCTTTTTTTTTTTTTTTACTTGGTCTACATTGAAAAAAAAAGTAGATGCCTTAAATTTTTAAGTACAATGAACTTGGATGTTAAGTCATTTCAACTTAAATTACATTAAACTTAAAATTAAAAATGAGTTTAATCTTGTAGGCCTAACAAAAAGTTGAAAATTGCATAACTTATTTTGATGAGTTAAAGCAATGTAAAAACATATGTAGTCACAACTTATTGATCATATATATTTTTTTACAGTATTGGATATTGTGTAATTTCCATAAGAAACTCTATAAAAGTTTATATAGCCTAGGCCTATATATATAATTGCGTAGTTTGCATGGGAAAACTTTTAGTAATTTTCTCCTATAGGACAATTTCAAATTATTCTAAAATCTATCAGTTTTTATTTTGTGTTGTATTAGGATGACAATTACCATTAGGATTCTTTGGTTCTAAATTATGACTGAATTTCCAATAGAAATCCCTTTGAAATGATTTTCGACTTGAGCCAGATGTCAGGACATGAATGGACATACAAGCTAATGTTTATCAGGCGGCAGCAGAAGCATTCCAGAGTGCAGTTAAAGTAGGACTAATCCCCGTGACGTCACGACGGGGTGGGGGGGAAGAGTCCTTCAGAAACACGAGAAGAGTCGCTTTCAGAGGAGCAAGTACCAACATGCCCAGATTGCGGGACTTCCAAGCAGATTGTAACAATATATAAAAGTCGGAAATTGATCTTTAGCCACAGAGCTGTCGGGCGGCAATGCAGCGACGATGCGTTATATTCAACAACGGGCTCTCTAGTGGAATTTCTGCAGAAACGTGTAAAGTTGAGCTAAACGATTAAATGAAGGCGTTTTATTCTGTGTTTAGTGGGCGCACAGCGGTTTTGCGCGTTTGCTTGCAATGTTCGCTCGTTAACGCTACGCGAAAACATCAGTGAACGCTTCGCCGATTCTGATTAACGTTTAATTTTGGGTTTCACACCAACCTTTATTCAGAATGAACCAGTGTAAAGTCATGAAGGATGGTTATCTGGAGAAGAGGAGTAATGGACTTCTGCAGCTGTGGAAGAAGAAGCGTTGCGTTCTGTCAGAGGAAGGACTCCGTCTGTACGACTGTAAAGGCGAGAGCAGCAAAGAGATGCGCTTCGAGCTGATGACCACGCTGGACTGTGTGGAGTACAAACGGGGTCTGGTGTACTTCACCATCGTGATGAACGGCGGGAAGGAGATTGACTTCAGGTGCCAGCAGGAGGGAATGGCGTGGAACGCGGAGATCGCGCTCGCGCTGGTGCGCTTCAAAAACCGCGTCGCCGTTCAGACCGGCAGGAACAGACATTTGTCACATCTGGGCAGCTGCGGGGAGGGAGACGTCGAGCTTTGAGGGTAAAGACAACTGGTTTTGATGTTGATCAGCATTTATTTTGGAAGGGTTGGTTGTGTGTCCTAGCATGGGGAACCATTCGCGTGTTCTCTCTGAAATCAATTATCCAGAATAGCATCTGCTTTTCGTTTACTGGATTGAGCTCTATGAAACACAGACACACGTTTGTGTTCACGTCTTTTGGAAAATCACGGCTTTAGTTCGTTCACAGTTCTGAGAGGCTTTACCACATGAGATGCTGCCTGAGGACCGGAAGGATTCCCAATTCCATGATGGAATTTCGTTGATAATTTGGAACCAATTCTAAAGGATCCTATTGGGAATTTGCTTAGAATTCAACCACAAAACAAAAGCTGTATCTTTTCGCATAGTTCCCAATACAACTATCCAGTTGGAATAAAGCTCATGTGGAACATCAAAAAGAACATTTTAAAACTTCAATAAATCCCAAATGATTGTCACTATAGCAAGTCATTAATCAGTTCATTAAAGAGTTTCAGAAGCACATATCGAAATAGTTAGAACATCTTTTGGGATTTTTACATTAGTCAATAGGATGTTTTAAAATTCTTATTTGATCCCATTAGAATCCTTTACATTTGGTTCCACATGTTATTATAAAAAAAAATCCACTAGGAATTGTGTACACTGTTTTTCATTATAAAGGCATTCCTGCTTGACCAGCTCCCATTCATAAAGCAAAAGCAGCTGAATAAAGCTAAATGAAACAGGGAAATCACTCCAGATATTACAATATGGATATTGTTGTTAAAAATTATATGATCAATTATGACAAAATGTTTTTACGTCGCTTTAACTCATGAAAATAAGCCATTTTTTCCAAGTTACACAAGATTCAACTCAGTTTATTGATATTTAAGTTGAAATAACTTAAACATCCAAGTTGATATTTCTTAAATATATTAGGTAGCCTTTTTTTTTTTTTTACAGTGTGTAATTTAATTGCACTCAAGCATTAGAAATCCACTTAATGGGGCTTGTGATAATTTGATGTTATGCCATGTCCAACATTTGTGCATGAAAAAAAGAAGAAGAGATGAATGAAAGACTCTATAGTCTGCTGAAAAGTGATTTTACTGAATCCATCTGTAATTCTTTCCGCAACTCACTAATGCAGTGTTACTATTGTATCCTCAGCCCAAACACAGCACTGGATCCAGAAGAGAAAGAGAGAGAGACTGTGGACAAGAAAATGAAGGCCCATTGTTAAGGAAACACCGGATGAAAGGCTTATTCTGTACTCGTATATCTTTTCTTTTGTACTTTCACCTTTTTTCACAGTGACACCTTCCGGCACAGTGGACGGATTTCTGCACGTTGGCGTTACTTACGCCGTGGGTGTTTTCGAAAAGATTTCATGCACTTTCACTGCATAAGTCAACAAGGAAAAGAGAGACACAATGAATTGCTCTTCACCATAATTCAACACTTCACTCCTCACAATGCCAGAGTGGATTTCGGTGTCGACTTTACACTTTTAAGAGACGTTCTTACCTCGCGTGACATGGAGGACTCGCACTCAGTATTATAACTGAAAGCATGATGCTGCTTCAGGAGACATTAGCCATAGATGAAGTATGACTCACAACTGCACTCTTTAACATTTCATAAGTATTTGAACAAGGAATCTGGATTCGTTCCCTTGCAAAGGTTCTTCAATTGCACGGAAAAAGCACTGCAGACTGCTTTCCCTTGGAATGCATCCCGACTGCATGGAAAACTTGATGGATGTGTTTTTATTTTGTTTTCCATTGGGCAATGCTGTTATTGCTAAAATTTTCTCCGTATTCTGCCTACATACCCAGAGCGCTTGCCAAAGTTAAAAATAGTCGTCTCTGTGATGGTTTAAAAAGATTAAACAGGAAGTGTTTAATTTTTGTTTCACAAAGCTCATTATCTCATTAAGTACACATTGTCCAAATAAAAAAAAAAGGATGATTTTGTGGCATTGTAATCTGAATTATTTTAATTGGTTTGTTGAGGCCCAAGGCAACGGTAGGGAGTTTATAGCAAATTAGACGCAGTATTGTAGGCGAATCTCAGTCTCTTCAACCTCAAGTGCCTGTGCGGCACATGCCCGGACAATGGCCTCACTGACTAATACTGTCCCGCCTTGCCTGCTTTCCTGTCAGTTTCACTGAGAGGCCGTCAAAGAAGTTGTCAAACAGGGCTTTTTTGTCAGGATGAATGTGTTTTGCTGTTGCAGGAACCTGTGGAAGTTAAGTGCTTCACTCCTGCATTAACAAAACCAGGTGTGAAGGGAAGTATAGGATCAATCTCAAACATGCCACGACCAGTTTGTTATCATAGTATGATAAAGGGCAAAATGAAATGACAGACAGCGAAAGATCTGTTCACTGAGAATCTGATGGTCTCACATGGAGAGGTCAGTTCGTGGCGGGCAGAAATCTTGGTAACGCTTGCTTTTACAGTCCTGTCACCCATGTACATACTATGTACTCATTATAGTAATTACAATTACTGGGTAAAAACTAGGTACTAACCCTGAACCTACCCCTAACCCATTATTTTAGCCAGTACTTTCTAGGTAAGTACACTGTAAGTACACGTAAGTTCTGTACTGTAAAAGGAAGCGTTACCGACATCATCACATATGGTTCATAAGGGGTCACAACCCAATAACGGCGTTAAAAACAGCTAAATACAAACAACAACCATATAATATTAGTGTAGGTTCATTCGAAAGTACTGTAAACGACAAAGGAATACGACATAAGGTTTGACTAAAATAAAGAATCGAGGGTCGAACATGTTTATATTTGTGTTGTTTCTACGCAATTTTTGCGACTGTTACAAGGCTGTTATGATGGCCATGAGTCACAAAACAAGCAAAACGATTTACAACATAAACAAATCATGTTTATTTTCATATTAAATCTTCATATTAAACACTTGCGGCTGAACTAATTTAGGGGGTTTTGAGTATGACAAATTATATTACAATAAATATATGTTTAAATATGTTCATATGTATATTTGATGTGCTGTATATGCATATTTATAAACTTACAGTTCTATACTTTATTTATATTTTAATTATATAATTTATTTTTTTACGCACATTTCATACACTGCCAGAACTAATACTTATATTAAGCGAAGATGCATTAATAAATGCTGTCGTTTAGAAATTTCTATTTATCAAAGAGTCCTGAAAAAATCGCTTTTTATGTTTAATTTTAAAAAATGAATCTAACATAAAAGTTTGTAAATGTATGCATATTATATATATATGTGTGTGTATTAGATGTGATTAATCGCATCTAAGATACAATTTTGTAAATATATAATATATGTGTGTAATGTGTATACATACACACACGCATATATTCACAAACTTTTATGTTATATGTGATTATTCGCAATTAATCAATTTGACAGCACTAATATACATACATATACTGTTTTACAGATGCGATTAATGAGAGTATATTATATGCCTGTCTCTGCGTGTCGTGACACAAATCAGCAAATTTTCTCAAGTGAAGTGAACTTCTACTGATGTTCCCTACTGAGTGTGTAGGCAGCATTGAACACTGTAGTCCCCCTGTGGGTCGCGGCACAGCTCCTGCCATATCGTGTGTTCTGCTCTCCAGGCCCTTCAGTGCCCTGGGCTGTGCCTGTGGTGTTGCAATAATAGGCAGATTGTGTGTGTGGAAAACCCCAGAGCCGGAGCCACTGAGGAGGCTCTGTTAAAAAAAGCCACAGTCTTGAGATGACTCAGCAGTCTGGCAGCAAAACCTGAACAAGAGCCTGCTTACAGTCATGGACACATGCATGCGGTGGCTTCCCTGCGTTGTGTAGGCCTACAGCAGTTTCAGAAGAAACTCCTCTCTGAGTGTGTGTGTATATAAGCTACTAATAGTTCTGTGGAAGTTACTACGCTTTAATTTGCTCTGTGGCAAGTAGATAAGAGCTATAAATGAGCATCTGTGTAGTTATGTATTTACTTTAAATATTTTATGTCACAATGGAGATCACAGCAATTACAACAGTAGGTAAGTTTGTCTCAGAAGACTCCTTCAATGTCACAAACTCACTTACAGACACTCAGTCTCTCCCAGTTACATAATGCTTCAGTCTGCATCCGGACATGTTGTGTCATCTTTCCTCAAGGTGTGTCTCTGCGGTTTGTGTCACGGCAGTCAGTCTGTGTGGATACGGCTTCACGCTCATAAACACACACACACAGGATCATGAGGGAAGTGACCTGCAGTAATAGAGCATCACATGTGCATGTGAAGTGTGTTCAACAGCTGAGCTCTGCATACACACTGCATGAAGGACATGCGTCTAAAGAGAAGTGCTTTCCATTATTAGAGGATTAGTTTGGTTTTCAGGAAGTTACTGAAGCGTTTACACCAAACTGTTTTCAACGGAAAATGGAAAATGTTTTATGCGTTCCTTTACACGCCAACAGTGTTTTGGGGACCTGAAAACGCAAACTTTTGAAAAGGGGTTTCAAAGTGCAAGTTCTTGAAAATTGTACCGTTATCGCCTCTGTGTAAACTACAAAAACGTTAATTTGTGAAAACAGTGACGTCATGTGCATGTGTATTATGTGTTCAGTCTATAGGTCTGTAGTGTTTCTTTAGAAACTGACATCGCCATCTACTGGCCTGGCATGAATAATACAGCGATTTTAATCTTTTTCACCGTGTGAAGCGGAATCGGTTTGACAATTTTGTTATCTGTAAGTGAAAAACGTAAAGGAAAAACGTTTCTGAGGTTCTTACCCTGAGGTAAGTTTACTTAAATAAAGCTAAAATAAAATATTAGTTGAAAAACGTAAACTAAAACAGCATTAGAAATGTTGCCTTTTGAAGCATATAATTATTAACTGGAAATAAAAAAAACTTAAACTATAGCTGAAATAAAACAAATTAAAAGTAAAAAGCAATATTAAAAAACGAATAAAAGACAAAAAAACATTAACATGAACAAAAAAATATTTAAATAAAAAGCTAATTCAAAATATGAATAAAACTAAAATAAAAACGAATATTTACACTGGTTTTAACAAAGAAAAGAAAAAAATATTTAAAAAATAATATTATTTCAACTGTTTGTAAATGAAAATGTCAAATTATTTGATAGAAATGACATTGATTGATCATTATCATGACCAAATATTACAGCAAAAATTGATGTATTGGTGAATTCAAAAACTAGTTTAATGGGATAGTCCAAAAATGAAAAATATGTCATTATTTTTTCACCTTAATGTCCATCCAAACCTGTCCATCACTGTGTTTAAGTAGCAACATTTTCCAGAATATCTTCTCTTGCGTTTTGCAGATGAAACGCTCTTTCGCCTCTTTAAGCGTAATACAAACACGAGTGAGAAGGTAAAGTGAATATGACATTTGTTTCCCCTCGACCGCGGTGTTCCTGTCTCTCACGTTCCAGAAGGTTCTGTGCGTCACTGACAGAGGCATGCGAGGAGCAGAGAGACGGTGTGTGTAAACTGTGTTAAAATAGCAGCTGAGTGAGAGCCTGATGGATTCAACACGCCTCTTTAACCTGTGTTTAATAAACAGAAAACAGATCTTTCCCTAAAGCTCTGGGTCAATAAAGTGCACTTGAGTTCTAACAGCCATCGAATATTAGACTATTAAAATTCATAGCGTCCAGTCGAAAGGGACCCAGACAGCAACATAGTGTCGGCCCAGATCCGCCCCACATCCGGTACGCGTTGAATCCACATGTATACCAGATGTGGGCCGGATCAACACTATGTTGCTGTCTGGGGAATGTTTAAGGTTGCGTATGAGAGGGAACGAGAAGTGAACTCATTCAAATGTATGCTGTTATATGTATAAAGGGAAAGCTAGATCAAATTAGTGCATTGGCACAATTTTGTCGGCAGCCAAAGTTAGTATATTTTAATATAATGTTTATATCAATATAATGTTTAATATATAATGTAAGAAATTATTATTATTATTCAATCATTAATCACACTTTGGTTTAGGATCCGATTCTCACTATTAACTATGACTTTTCCCTTAATAAACTCCTAATTACTGCTTATTAGTTAATAAGGTAGTTGTTAAGTTTAGGTATTGGGTAGGATTAAGGGATGTAGAATATGATCATGCAGAATAAGCCATTAGTATGTGCTTTATAAGTACTAATAAAGAGCCAATATCAGTAATATGCATGTTAATAAGCAAGTTAATAGTGAGAATTGGACCTTTAACAAAAATCAAAATAAAACACTTACTAAAACAAGATGAAAAACGTAGTTGTCTACCTTGTGACCATGTGAACATTAACCAAATTTAGAGAACCGTGAACATGAATGCGTTTGGTAAATTATTGAATAGTTTTGGTCCAAAAAGTACATAATAAAATTGACTAGATCTCCAGCAGAGGGCAGACTGACACAAACATCACGATAATATAATATAATATAATATAATATAATATAATATAATATAATATAATATAATATAATATAATATAATATAATATAATTAAATATAATATAATATAATATAATATTAATATACAGTTTTATCAGTTCTGTTGATGTACCATTCCTGATTATCCAGAATGAAAGTGATTGCTCATCCTCAAGCAAAACTATTTTTAACTAAGTGGCCTTTTATTTCATTAATATTATATTATTTGTTTTATATTACAGTTTTATATTTATATTACAATATTACAGTTTTTTAAAAAAAAAAATATATATATATATTTGTGATTTGAGACTCTACAAGTGCACATTAAATACAATGAAGCGGTCTTGATTTCACACGGGTCTCAGGTTGTGGAGTGAATGAAGGGCTGATTCTGCTGTTGTATGATGTCAGCCTGGCTTTAGTATATTTTCATAACATTGACCCTATGTGATGGCAACATGATGGTTAGTTAATTTCAGGTCATGCAGGTCTAGTAAGGCCTCTAGGCTGTTGTCGACAGTGTTTTCTCATCCAAAACCCCCTCTGTAAATTTTTTTTAACTCTACTACAAAATGAAACATGAGTTTTAACGCGCACACACACACACACACACACACACACACACACACACACACACACACACACACACACACACACACACACACACACACACACACACACACACACACACACACACACACACTAAAACCAAGTCTAAACCCTCAAACAGCCTTTTAAAGGGGTGTCAGAAAGTGAGTTCTGGCCGAAAGTGTTAAACTCAAACTGGTCCTCATGAAGAAAGGACAAACACCTCAATTAATTACTCAATTTCACCCAGAAAACTTTGATGAGCCGTAGCTAATATGACCGCATGCCTTGAGAAAAGCTCTAGCACATTTGTCCGCAGTCGCCACTTGGTTTGATGACAATGACATTCCGACATTAAGAGTGGCTTAAGTGTCCAAATACTTTTTGGAGCCACAGTATATTGACATTTCACAGCATAGCAGAACAATCATCTCTGAGCAGATAACCCAGACTAGTGATGGTCCAGCGGCACAGACAGACAGCAAAGAGCGCTGGAGCCACGAGATGAACCTAATGTGAGAGAGAGAGACAGACAGACAGAGAGAGAGAGAGATTTGTGCTCTAATAATATCCTCCACTGACAGACTAGAGATAGAGAGACTCTGAGGGTTAAATAAAGGAGCACATCTCTATTCTGTTATCAATAATCAGTCTGAGGACGACACCACACAAACCCACACTGTACGGTAAGATCAGATGCTTCTGATGATGGGGAATCTGATAATCATTTTGCATATTTAATAACAGACTAAATGTAAACTTCTTTAGTTATATAGAAATGTATTCAACAAACAACAAGAGACTTAAAATGAATATTTTAAGTCTCTTGTTGTTTGTTGAATAAATGTCTATATTTAACTTGTATACACTTTTATTGTCTTATTAATAGTCATATTAATAATAAATGTCTTATATACTGTATATATATATATAGGAAATAAAATAATTGTATCAATGTTTCTCATCCTGACCTTCTCGTAATATAATGCATCATAATAACTACAGGGAACAGATAAAGTTACAAAATTATGTTTTATGTTTTATATATATATATATATATATATATATATATATATATATATATAATTTTACATTTAATTTCAGTGTATATAATATAATAAAACATAACATAATATAATAAATTTAATATAATTTAATATAATATAATTAATATAATTCTTTGTTTTATTTGACCTCCCTGCTTATCTTTATAGACACACATTACTTGCAACCTCATGCATTTATTTTTTTTCCTAAAGAAAACAATCACCCCTAGCCAAATGCTTTACCCATTTAGGACAGGACAGGTCCAAATTCTTGTCTTTGTGTTTGTCCAGCTAAGAGAGTATCAGGATCACTCATGGCTTTTTTGGGGGGTGTTTAAGTCACTGACAGAGACATACAGAAACATGCGAGTAGGTCAGAGGAGGACATGATGATGTATTCCTAAATTCATTCAGTGGGAATTCAGTGGGAGTACTGAATTACATTTAATGTATCAAAATCATCTAACATTGGTTTTGCTTTCTTTTAGTGCTCAGATGCCAAGATGCCTGAACAAGGGTGAGTGTGTGTCTCTAAATATGTTCACACCAAGAACGATAACTATAATGGTAACTACAGCATCCACACCAGCAATGATAATTAACGTTCTATTATTCGAGTTTTTTTTTGCTCGAGCTTTTTTAAGCAGAATAGAATCTGATTGGCTATTATTGTTTTTATCGCAGCCTACATCAGCTGGGAAAAATTTGTTCCGAGAGTGATTCCAACTATATATTTCCTCTGTGCCTTTATTGTTATAGTTGTGGAATCTGCTATTCGTTTATATTAGATCGATTTTTAGGTCTATATCTTTACTGTTAGCGTTACAGTAGTTACCACTCTTGGTGTGAACGGGCTTTTATACCAACAATAATCTCTACAATGGTCTTATAAAATTTCACCTGTACATTTTATGATGTATTTTAAGGCAAGAGGTAAGTTATGCATTATTTTCTCTAATAATTACTAAAACTTTGATTAAGTGTAATACCTTTACTGTGTTATAACTTTCATATCTGTGCCCCAGAGAAAGTCCAAGATCTCAGCCTCAAGAAAGGTTATGCTAAAGGTTGGTTTGTAACACACATAACACACAAGTTTGTAACACACAAACAGTACATTCGAAACATCCATAAACATAAATTCACCATCCATAGCACAAACAGTGCAGAATGAGTTTAGATTCAACTTAGGTTCTCAAACTTCTTTGGTCACATCCCCCTTTAAACCTTGCCGTCCACTGAAGCAGCTTTTCTATTGCTTGGACTGTATTAATTATATGATCAATAAGTTATGACAACATATGTTTTTACATTGCTTTAACTCATCAAAATAAGTTGAGAAATTTTCAACTTTTTTTTAATAAGTTATACAAGAATCAACAATTCATTATAATGTAATTTAAGGTGAAATGAGTTAAACATCCAAGTTGATTGTACTTAAAAATTTAAGGCAGCAACTTTTTTTAATAGTGCCTTGTTCAGACAGTGCAAAGTCAGAGAAATATTCAGACTGAGTCTATAACACACCACTAGATGGCAGGCATGTCCCAATACCCATACTTGTGGTCTTGGCCACCACACAGTGTGTGTACGTGACATGAAGTATAAGTGTGCAAGACTGTCCCTTAAAGCACACTAAATGCACCATACACTTTGCATCGGTAGTTGAGGCTAAGTATATCCCAGACAGCAACGTATTGTCGGCCCAGAATCGGCCCACATCTGGTACGTGTGGAGTTCACGTGTACCTGATGTGGGCCGGACCTGGACCGACACTATGTTGCTGTCTGGGGATCCCATCATTAATCATGTTCATGAACTCATATGCCCCGAAACCGTGCAATGTCAAGGAAAACTTCACTGTGTAAGTTAAACTAATTAGATTTCCAATATAACTTGGTAATAAACATGTAAAGTGTTGCACCTTTTATTGGTGCAGAGATGAGTATTTTTATTTTTATTTATTTTATTTAACCTTTATTTAACCAGGTAGGCACATAGAGAACTCATTCTCATTAAAAACGGCGACCTGGCCAAGATAAAGCGTCAAGGTGCAGACAACAAAAAGTTACACATAAAAGGACAAAACAATGGATCAAGGGTACGATCAGTTATACAATCACAAATCCAGTCTACAACATAATTGTTATGAGGTTGGAGGATAGATGAACCCAAAAGCAGACTGAATGCTCTTCACACAATTTATTGAGGACAAAACGGAGAAAACAAAACCCACGAGGGGGCAAAACAAGACTAGCTAATAAATAAAGACTAGACAGGAACTAATAACAAAAACTCACAATACAATAAACTGAAACTAGACAAAGTACTCACAGAAGTGTGCTATAAAGATAGACACATGATGATCAATGATAGACAGAGTTTGACAATGAACTGACAAAGGACAGCAAACACAAGGGGATAATATAGGGAGACACTAATGACAAGAACAGGTGAAACTGACTAGACAATAATGACAAGACGAGGATAACAAGGGGGCGGGGTAACGTAATGAGACAACACAAGCACATGGCCCAAGCAAATGGCCATGTGCTTGTACACAAAACATGGGTCTGCCATGATCCTGCCACAAGACTAGAGAAATCAAAGACATGATGGCAGAATCATGACAATAATTCCAGATACAATGCCTAGGCAAGTAGCCTAGTATGGCAGCAATACAATACAATACAAGAATAGAATAAATAAATGAATAAACAAAGAAGACGATAAAAGTAATGCATTATCTTACACCGAGGAAGAATGTTGACGCTAACAAGAACAATGGTGTGACAGTAGGTTTGAAATCGATCTTTTGAGGATAACGGGACAATAGATTCTAGTCTTAAAGATTTTTGCAATTCGTTCCAATCATTTGCTGCCGAAAACTGAAAAGAGAGTCTGCCAAAGGAAGTACGGACTTTGGTGGTATTCAATAGGATAAACCTACTTGAACGCAAGTTGCGAGAAGGAGAAGCTACAGAAATGAAATGTCTTAAATAGGAAGGGGCTTTGCCTAAGAGAATTTTGTAAATGAGGAGAAACCAGTGTGTTTGACGTCGAATGTGAAGGGAGGGCCAGCCAATGAGTGTGTAAAGGTTACAATGATGAGTACAAAACAGAGCGTTAATTGCAAAGCGGATGGCACTATGATATAGTCCATCTATCTTTCTGAGTAGAGTGTTTGATACTGATCTATAGACCACATCACCAAAGTCTAAGATGGGAAGAATAGTCATATTCACAAGGGCATGTTTAGCTGAAATAGTAAAGGAGGCCCTATTCCGAAAGAGGAAGCCGATCCTTGATTTTATTTTAGATTGGAGTTTGTTGATATGGGTATGGAAGGAAAGTGAAGAAATCTAACCATATCCCTGAGTATTTATAAGAACCAACAAAGTCCAGTACAGACCCATCAAGGGTAGAGATGATTTTTGTACAGGGAGGTCCAGAAAGAGAACGATTAAAAATCATACACTTCTTACGAATGCTGTATGCTATCAAAGCTCGCTTGGAGGTTGTCTAGCACAGTGTTCATAGTTGGGCCAGAGGTGTAAAAGAATTGTGTCATCTGCATATGTATCATAGAATCTCCCACAGCTAAAGCAACATCGTTAATGTAAATAGAAAAGAGTATCGGCCCAAGGATAGAACCTTGTGGTACCCCTATAGAAACAGCCACAGGACTAGATAGCAGACCCTCAGACTTAACACACTGAAATCTATCTGTAAAGTAGTTATTGAACCAGGCGAGGCATTGATTTGAAAGACCCAGACTCTTTAGCCTACCAATAAGAATAGTGTGGTTGACGGAGTCGAAAGCCTTAGCCAGGTCTATGAAAACTGCTGCACAATAATGTTTACTGTCAATAGCAGATATGATGTCATTCATGACTTTGATTGTGGCCGAGGTACACCCTCGGACAGCTCGAAAGCCAGATTGCACATCGGCGAGACAATGGTGGGATTCGAAGTGAGTAGTGATCTGTTAATTGACAAGGAGTTCAAAGACCTTGGAGAGACAAGACAGAATAGAGATGGGTCAATAGCAATTGGGGTCTAAGGTGTCTCCCCCTTTAAAAAGAGGGATTACAGCAGCGACTTTCCAATCTTTCGGAATATAAGAGGTGTCAATGGAGAGGTTAAAGATAGCGGTAATAGGTGAGGCAATAATAGGAGACGCTATTTTTAAAAATGAGGGGTCTAAATTGTCCAGCCCAGCAGATTTTAAAGGATCAAGATTTTGCAATTCCCTTAAAACATCAGCTGTCTGAATATGGGCAAAGGAGAAAGATGGTGGGGAAAGGGATGGCATATCTATAGTAGGGTTTATAACTGTAGTGGAGGTTACCAGGTGGAAAGCGTGTCCAACCATAGCAAAGTGTTTATTGAAGATCTCTATAATAGTGGGCTTATGGTGACGATGTTTTGAAATCTTAAAGCGGTGGAGAGCTGAGAACAGTGTGTGACTGCTGTTTAATCACTTTCTTATTGGGACAGGTGCATTAACATTTACTTGTGTGTGTTCAGAGTTTGATGGTGGCCAAAGCCAAGGAGGAGCTGGAGCAGGAGGTGTTGGATAAAGAGGAAGAGAAGCAGAGGTATCTGACGGAGAAAGCTTCTCCTCTGCAGACGCAGGGCATGTCATTCGCTGAGCTTCAGGTAAACTCATGGCATACTTCTACATGAAGTCCACCTCCAAACTTCCAGTTTAGCTCATTTGCTGCCACACGGAAATCCTCACGACTTAAAATCTAATGGTACAATCACTGCTGCTCACGCCACCCCACCCTGCTATATTTGCATGTTAGCTTACATAAGGCTGATGCAAATGTCCCGCCCAATGCCTGTCTGTCTTAATTTGACTAATTGCAATGTAAACAGCCATCCAAGCCAACCACAATCATTATTATTAGATGTCTGAGTAATACGATAAGTAGGAAAATTTGCCATATGATATTTCGTTTCTTTTACTTAGACTTTTTGGATAAGCTTTATTTTGTTAGTCTTTGTAATATTATACGCATTCACTTCAAATAGGATTCCTGAAACTCAATTAACATTTCTGTCTCTTTTAGGAACTCTGTCAAGAGCTTCATGGTAAGATTGATGTGGTGGATGAGGAGCGCTATGATATTGAAGCCAAAGTCTTACTGAATAAGCGTGAGGTATGAAAATCCACATAATCTATAGATTAATAACCAGTTGGACAATGTCACAATGTACTGTCTTCATCTGGTCTATTTGGGAGGTTTCTAATATTAGTATGCAACTCTGAGCATTTGGGATTGTGATATTAATAAAAAGGGGGAAGAAATTTTGTCAGATGTTTCTTTAAAAGGCTGTTCCAAAACTATGTGAGCTACGCATACTACGCATTTCACTTTTTTTTTTTTTTTTTTTTTGCTTATGATATAGGAAAGTGTGTATACAGTATATGGACACAGGGGCACAGTACTACCTCTGACAATGGCCCAAAGAAGGCATAGTTAAAGTAATAATTATTCCAAAGTATGTTATGCCTACAGTAAGTACCAGGAGAATGCTATCTATGTAGGGAGCTCACTAGCTTTTGGAACAAGGCCTTAGTTGATTTCTATGCTAGATATCTCATAAGTACTCAATTGACCATCCATCCTCTAGATCAAAGACCTGAATATTAAGGTTCTGGACCTGAGGGGCAAGTTCAAGCGGCCCACCCTGAGGAGGGTGAGGGTTTCTGCAGATGCCATCCTCCGATCTCTCCTAGGCTCAAAGCACAAAGTCTCAATGGACCTACGAGCCAACCTCAAATCTGTGAAAAAAGAGGATACTGAGAAGGTACGTCATCTGAACACATAAACGAAGTTATATGACCAATTCAAGCAATGCTTACATAGTCAAATAGGTATATTGGTGCAAATGCCTGGAGATGAAACCATATCAGACAAAACTAGACAAGTCGGGGAAATCTTTGAATGTTCCATGTAAGATAATGAGAGTAAACTGTTAATCCCTCAAGGTTACGCCAGTGAAAGGCTTAAAAACATTACTAAACTTCTCACCTTACTCCCTAAACTGGATTGGCACAAATGGTCCGCTTTAGGCAGATATGAAAAGAGACAATGCTCCCTGACTATTCAGAGCTTACCAGAGCTCAGACAAGAAGGATGACATCATCTCTAACAGCTGTTGGAAAGGCGGAGGCTCATTGGGATGTGAGGTGGAGGAGTAAAAGGCTACGTTTTTGGAGACCAAACAGTGACAATGTTAATTCTTTTCAGTGGTTGTCTTGACTATAACAGAGATTAGGTGTTGGATGACAGACACGAGAGTGGACAACAGAAGTATGGCACACTAGAAGAAAAGCTTTTGTGTAGAAACACAACATACTGATACCGAAGAGACCAAGCCCTTAATAGAGCAGATAAACCGGCAGATTGAAGGGGCGTTCTGGGTAATTTTCAATTTAATGTCTTCGGATCATATCTGTCGCGTGCTGTCGATTAGCCAGTGATGGACAGTTATAAAGTGTTATTACTTTGTTACTGTACTTAATTACAATTTTATATATACTATGTCTGAGTATTTTTATCTTTGCAAACCTTTACCTTTATGTATAGGTGACATTTTTATTCAGTGGAAATGTAAAGAAGATTTTTATCTGAAACCAACCAGACAGCAACATAGTGTCGGCCCATATCCGGCCCACATCTGGTACGCGTAGAATCCAAGTGTACCAGTTGTGGGCCGGATCTGGGCCGACACTATGTTGCTGTCTGGGGGTGATTTGTATAATGCAAGTCAATAGCTATACCGTCACTTTGAGAGTCAATAAAATATATTCGAGGCAAAACAAAAGGAATACCCGTTGCTCCTGACGATTCATATGGGTCTGTGGATTACAGGTAATAATGCTATAAATAATGTTCAGTTTCTTGAACAGGATGATCGTATCGCTTCTTAAGACCTCAATACATCATCATTTTCAATAATCCGTCACACTCAAGTGTGTCACAATACGGAAGAAAACATATGTCGCTAATTCAGCTTATTCCGCTAAATTATTAAAAACAGAAATACTGTCCGTTTCTTTCTGACTCAAACTGTGCCAAGAACAGTGAGATCCTTGAAGCTTGGTTTATCACATGAAGTTAATGACGACTTTTCAACATGGCTACTTTTGAATGCCTGTCAATTGAGAAATATGTTATTTAGATGTTGTGTAGATACAAATGACCAGCAGGGACTAGTGGCTTTGACAACCAGCTTAACCTCAAGTCTTTGAACGTAACCGATTTTCCTTTGAAAGTGTTCATTCAAGTGAAAAGGTAGCTTAACCAAATTCATTATATTGACATTCAATAGAACATCACTAGTTTTTTGAGCACACAATCGTGTTTAATCATCACTTTGTAGTAGAAACAGTGCTGTATCTTTCTGCAGAAGAGGCCAGTTGAGGACAGTGACTGGAGGAAGAACGTCGAGGCCATGTCTGGTATGGAGGGAAGAAAGAAGATGTTTGATGCAGCAAAAGGCCCCACCCAGTGAAACCTTAGTGAAGTTAACATGAAAGATCATGCAACTTTTGTTTGGCGAATAAAAGGTTAGGTTTAGAGTTGCAAACTAAACATATCATTTATGTACTAGATATACTTGAATAGGTGTCGTTCAACAGTGCATTGAACTGCTCTGCATTGGTGCAAATGATTGTGCAACTTTCATGTGGCCAATAAGTAAATAATTACTTCCTTAGTTGATCTTTTATTATGTCAATATTCAGTTATGAGAAAGAGTCAATGTAAGGTGTACCAATGTATTACGAGAATAAACAAAGTGAAACATGTGTCGATGTACAAGACTCTTTATACATGCGTGTAGTCTTACCAAAACTTTTCCAGGCTCTGTTTGACGTGTTTTTTCTGATAATCCGGCTACGAATTTACTGTTTACAAAAACTCATAACTCTGACTTGGAATGGTGAAATTGAACTTATGAAATAAAATTTTGTATTATTAATAAGTTATAATAACATACACTCACCTAAAAGATTATTAGGAACACCATACTAATACTGTGTTTGACCCCCTTTCGCCTTCAGAACTGCCTTAATTCTACGTGGCATTGATTCAACAAGGTGCTGAAAGCATTCTTTAGAAATGTTGGCCCATATTGATAGGATAGCATCTTGCAGTTGATGGAGATTTGTGGGATGCACATCCAGGGCACGAAGCTCCCGTTCCACCACATCCCAAAGATGCTCCCCCACAACATTACACCACCACCACCAGCCTGCACAGTGGTAACAAGGCATGATGGATCCATGTTCTCATTCTGTTTACGCCAAATTCTGACTCTACCATCTGAATGTCTCAACAGAAATCGAGACTCATCAGACCAGGCAACATTTTTCCAGTCTTCAACTGTCCAATTTTGGTGAGCTCTTGCAAATTGTAGCCTCTTTTTCCTATTTGTAGTGGAGATGAGTGGTACCCGGTGGGGTCTTCTGCTGTTGTAGCCCATCCGCCTCAAGGTTGTGCGTGTTGTGGCTTCACAAATGCTTTGCTGCATACCTCGGTTGTAACGAGTGGTTATTTCAGTCAAAGTTGCTCTTCTATCAGCTTGAATCAGTCGGCCCATTCTCCTCTGACCTCTAGCATCAACAAGGCATTTTCGCCCACAGGACTGCCGCATACTGGATGTTTTTCCCTTTTCACACCATTCTTTGTAAACCCTAGAAATGGTTGGGCGTGAAAATCCCAGTAACTGAGCAGATTGTGAAATACTCAGACTGGCCCGTCTGGCACCAACAACCATGCCACGCTCAAAATTGCTTAAAGGGATACTCCACTTTTTTTGGAAATAGGCTCATTTTACAACTCCCCCAGAGTTAAACTGTTGAGTTTTTACCGTTTTTGAATCCATTCAGCCGATCTCCGGTTCTGGCGGTACCACTTTTAGCATAGCTTAGCATACATCATTGGAGTTGACAAGACCATTTGCATTTCTCAAAAAAAAATGACCAAAGAGTTTTGATATTTTTCCTATTTAAAACTTGACTCTTCTGTAGTTACATCGTGCACTAAGACCGACGAAAAATGAAAAGTTGCGATTTTCTAGGCTGGTATGGCTAGGAACTATACTCTCATTCCTGCGTAATAATCAAGAAACTTCAATGCCGTACCATGAGAGCAGCAGGCGTAATGATATGACGCAGCGCCTGAAAATAGGCCATCTTCCGTCAACACAACGGAACTATTTTCAGGCGCTGCGTCATATCATTACGCCTGCTGCTCTCATGGTACGGCATTGCAGTTTTTTGATTATTACGCAGGAATGAGAGTATAGTTCCTAGCCATATCAGCCTAGAAAATCGCAACTTTACATTTTCCGTCGGTCTTAGTGCACGATGTAACTACAGAAGAGTCAAGTTTTAAATAGGAAAAATATCAAAACTCTTTGGTCATTTTTCTTTAGAAATGCTAATGGTCTAGTCCACTTCAATGATGTATGCTAAGCTATGCTAAAAGTGGTACCGCCAGAACCGGAGATCGGCTGAATGGATTCAAAAACGGTAAAACTCAACAGTTTAACTCTGGGGGAGTTGTAAAATGAGCCTATTTCCAAAAAAAGCGGAGTATCCCTTTAAATCACCTTTCTTTCCCATTCTGACATTCAGTTTGGAGTTCAGGAGATTGTCCTGACCAGGAGCACACCCCTAAATGCATTGAAGCAACTGCCATGTGATTGGTTGATTAGATTAGGCATTAATGAGAAATTGAACAGGTGTTCCTAATAATCCTTTAAGTGAGTGTATGTTTTTGCATTGCTTTAACTCATCAAAATAAGATTAAAGGCCCACTGAAGTGCCTTGGAATTCACAGCTTTGTATGATGCGTTGACGTCATTTCCACTGAAATAGGAAGCTAAGGCGGGACATATTGAATGGCTCCTCCCCCTTTTCAAATAGCCAATCGCGTTTCGTTTACCTCACAGACTGCAAGTCGCACTTGATAGAACCATGTCAGCGAATCCGAGCGCTGATGATACGTTGGATTCAATAGTAGAGGTGTGAATAAATTCTAGCCATTTCATTCTTAACCAGCGTACAGTTGGAAAACGGAATACAACTTGAGCGTTTGAGCAAGCGAACATACATCTCCAGCCCATATTGCTCCGTGACGTGTCAAGGGTCACCTTTGGCCAGGTGGTGTTTACAGCGTAGGGGGCGGGAGTCCCGGGACGCTTTAGATTCTAGAGAGCATTTGATTGGACAGAAGATGTGATGAGAAGCTGAAGTCCCCAATGATGTCATATACATCCGTGATCCTTTTAAGTGGAAATGAGAGACTGTAAGTTTTGAATGCTTGTACTGTATCTCCTAAATGCGAATTTTGTCATTGTTTTGGAACACACCAGCTTATTCATAACCTTTAGGCTAACATTTTCATACTAAAAGCTAAAAAAAAATTAAAATTGAATTTCAGGGGGCCTTTAAGACAAGCAATTTTCAACTTTTTTTTAAGGTTCAAGTTCAACACATTTTTTAAGTCAGTTTAATGTAATAAGGCAGCAATTTTTTTACAGTGTTGTAAATTAACTTACAAAAAAGTGCATATAACATAAGTGCTAAGAAGAGCTTACTATTTTTGCATGCTATGCCAATAAAATGCCTGAAATATTAATCAGATGTGTTTCTTTGTTTAGTCTAATTTAATGCAAATGTTTAAATTGCTATTGAATGGGCCACAGGTTCATGCCGAGATAAGGAGGCTGTGCAGGAAGTGAAGCGTTAACTGTGGAGACAGTCATCTGAAGACAGTGGACTCCAACCCTTATTTGCATAGTGGATATCGCTGTCTCTTCCCTGTGTTAGCATTGGGTGGGGTGTTCAGGCCACTAGTGCTTGATGTAGTTATTTAACGTTTAACTGTTAAAGTTCATTGTGACGTTCCTTAAGGGGAATGTTGTTGTTTTTTCTCTGCTCTCATGAGTGAATATAGAGGCAATTGTAAGTGAAACAATATAGCGGAGACATGTCATCGGATTTGTCATTCCAGTGAAGTTGCCTATTATTTCCTTTATGACCAAACCCTTTTTATACTGGATAGTCTACTCTGGCTTTCATATTGCCCTGGTCAAAGTACAGCAGATCTACTTGTCTCTTGTAGGTGTGGCACAGGGAATAAAGCAAACCCCTCCAGCCCTCGAGTATCAATGCTTTCTGCACTGCGGAGTAAATTCCGCTGTGAATAACTGACATGAAATTTCTTAAACGCTTGACTTCACTTAAAATGCTGTATTCTTCAGTGCATTGAATCTTGTGAGATGTTTCAAAATGTAGGCTAACATCCTTTTGAAAACATTTCACCGCATCTACACTGCTAGCCTGATGCAATGCAACAGAACTGGATTGCTTCAATACTGAGTCAACACAGCATTAAAGAAATAAAGTGTTCCCATTATAAGCAATCATGAAGTAGGCTAGACGTCTGTGAGTGATGCCATTGATGATCATAATAACAGAATATTATTGTGTTGTTGAGTCACTCACTTTCAATGACAGACTTAGTATAATTCCATATGACAACATCGCCGTGATATCCGAGTGAAATGGCTTCGAGTACAAGTACAAATGTAGGGCGGGGCTTGATTTTGTTAATGGGGAATTGATTGGATGGTTGTGATTTGCAATTGGTCGATCTCATGTGAGTGACAGGTTGCCCCGCCCTCAGAATATGAGGGCACATTATTATTTTTATTATTAATGTTTATTATATTCTTTTATTAGGCTTTTATTAAAATAATAATAATTATTCATAATAATGATGATGATGATGAAATTGTTCACTGATAAATCATTTATGATAAATACTGCAATATTCCATAAAAAATATGAATGGAAAATTTGGATTTCGCTGTGGCTTTACTTTTACTTAATGTAATGTTATATGGGATGTGTAAAAATATTATTTATTTAGTAAAATAATAATAATTATTATGTGTTTTTTAAATATTCTAAAATATTTAAGGCAAATATGAATAATAGAATATAATATAATATCATATTTAATTATTATTATTTTCTGATATATTTTTTTGTCAATTTATTTTAGCTTTTTGACATTTCACTAAAACAATATTTTGAGGTTTATGTCTTAAGTAACTATATAGTTATAGTTTTTTTTTTTTTTTTTTTTTTTTTTCAATATTGTTGACCATGCAGCGATTTGTTAATGATAAAGGGAGCGTTCTTGCGTCGTGATCGTCGTCGTGTAGATGTTCCTGCATCGTCCACACACGCATAGAACCGCTCACTGACTTAAATATGATACCCGAGCTGATAAAAATACGGAAGTGGTTTAATAATAGTGTATAACAGGGAACATGTATGATGTGAAGGCTCGGCGGGAGGTGATGAAGGTGGTCATGTGACGCGGCTCTCGTGAAGGTGCGGGGTAAAGGTGACACACACACAGACAGAAGAGCGCAGGACTTCACACACCTCTCTCCTACCGACACACAAAATAATGTCCATTAGCAGGAAAAACTGGTCTGCTTTGTCAACGTAAGTAGATTTAAATATATATTAAGCGTTAATTTAGTTTGGTCCGGTTAGTGGTCTTGCGGTTTCTGTCAAGTTGCAGAAGCAGGTGTTCTATGGATGTTTAACTTACAACTATCAGAACTATCACTGTAATGCGATTATTGACTATGTTTTTTTTTTTTCATTTTTAAGAAGAAAAAACAACTAAGTAATGAAAAACCCACCAAAACGTAAGAATTGTAACTTAAACACACCGAGTTTCTTTTTTTTTCTTCAGAAATATAGGCTATTACTGTAGC